TAAGCATGTCTGCCGATAAGCTTGAAAAGTCAAGATAAATTATATGAAGATGGTCAGAAACTGAAAACAGCAAACTAAATTGCTTAAGATATCAAAAGCGAAGCTGATGTCCCAATATAAATTTTATAGAATTGCAATGTATTATAACGGAAATCTTCTTAGCAATAAAATGTAGTTTTTAGATAATTGTTTTAGACATTTCTTCGATCAACCGTTATTTTACAAAAATGAATACGTGTATATATTAAGGTGGATAAGGGGTCTTCATTATATTTAATATCCATAGAATTTTTTAACAATTTATCAAAAATATAATAAAAAGTATGGGTCACCGGGCTTTTTTTTCACGCTACAGGTTGTGCAAAATTGTCAGATTTTATATAGATTATGCATGGAAAACACAATTTTGTGTGATAAAAAGAAAACTACACCATAGAATTGTAAGATAAAATATGAGAAGATAGCTCGATCTGATAATATGCCTTCAGATAAGAAAAAGAAAAATGGGTCACCGGACGCGTTTTCTTGCTACATAATAAAATAAGTAAATTCACAACACATTCTATTATAAAAGTTACTTTATCTGTCGGTGAGTTATCTCCCCTTCTATCTGAGTTTTTTTGAAATTTGCACATTTCATTTGAGATATAGACCGATTGTTATCTGCTATTTCACAATCCAAGATGGCGGAAGACACCCCAGCTACCTGAACATGCTGAACGGCACTTTTTACGCCCATTCGATACATTTATTAATAGATCTTTTTCAGATACACTTCAAAGAGTTCTACAAAATATCATAAAAATCTGAAATACCCATTACGTTTTCTACGTCTTTATTAACCAAATATGGCAATTTTTACCAGACTAGCGAATCAGTCATTAAAAGACGCGATTTATATAATACTGACCTTGATTTTCTAGTAAGCGATTCATTTGAACTTTTGTGAGATTTATTTTCGTGAATTATTTCTGTTGTTAATAAAATTCATATTAATCATTATAGTCTTCTAATAAGTAGTTTTCAAAGTTTATACAATGTACATTAAATCAAGACAATGCAAGATGTAACAGTTGATTGTTTAGAAGTTAATTATCCTTGAAGAGTTACTGCTTACCCAAATCTGAACGGTCAAAGGTCGGGTGAGGCTACCTACTAAGGTATGTATCTCATGTGAAATATGATACATTATTACGATTACACATGCATAAGAAATTGAGCCATAATAATATTCGAAACATTGTTCATTCATTTATGAAACTAGATCAAGGTAGAACATGTATCTGCATAGGTTAAACTTAATCATATCCCCTGTATTTTTATCACAAATCGCTATGGTACAATGTTGCACGTATGGAACGCACATTTAAAATAATTATTATTACAAAGTTTGAAACTCTCTACCGATGATAAACATATTTCATTTACTAAAACATATAGAATAACAAAGACAAAGGTCAAATCTTTGCAGGTTGGCATTTCAGTATTTTTGATAGCAACCTCATGATTATGAACTACAGGCAGAAAAAATAAAACAAACAAAAAATATTCACATCATTCTCAGTTCAATGTGGCATATGTAGTTTTCTCAGTGTCTTGTTTGGATGGGGTCTTCCTTTTTTACACTAAATCTTTAAGTCATTTTTCTGTAATTTATTATTTTGCCCATTATTATATATTCTTTACAATTAAGCACCTCATTATTCTCTATTCTTTATTGTTTACCCTATATTCTATATTCTATACACCAGCATTGTCTAATCAAGAAATAATTCAAATGGCTAGCATTTATACTGATTTTATCACGAGTTGGTCCCTTACGCGAAATTTTTTACCACGATCGATAGCGAGGGGGAAAATCAGTATAAATTCAAGCCCCCGTGAATTATTTCTGCTCTAATAAGACAAATACGGCATTTTTTTTGGATTGAAGCGCTCTAGGTGATGGCAAGTATTTGTTGTTCCCATAATATTAATTAAACACAATATTAATATTGAACAAAGAAAACTGAATTAGTGACATGCTTAAAGATTTACAATAACATACTTAGACAGGTTTGGACGAAATTAAATGATTATCTAATTTTTTTTTGAAGAAAATTGACTTTCAACAATTCTTTATCATCGTTTGTTTATGTTTCAGTGTTTTGATAACTTTTAGTTTCACTTTCGTGCATTTCCCGTAGAATGCTTATATTCTTACGTCATCGTCCAATGACGTCGTTTACACTGATTGGTCTCGGGTAACTCTTTCATAAAAAGACGTGAGAGTATAATGGGAACTTCCCAAACGAATCATGACGTTGCCGATCAGCTGACATACAATATATTCATATTTTACCACAAGTATGTACAATCTCCGTACAGCGCTCGTTTCAGTTCCGTATACTCAGTACACTACACTACAAATTCAGTGTAGTGATACGAAGTAAGTACGGAGCGGATGTCAGCTCTGCGCCGGAGATTGGGGTATGTACTCAAAGCGTTTGAAGAGTGTCATATTAGAATTAGCGAATGATTCTTTCGTAGACTGACAGGGGTACCAACCCATTAGCAGTTACGTAAATACATAAAAAAGATGGTTGACAAGTGCCCTTTCCAATTAAAATCCCAAATCAATTATTTGACGAAAACAAAAGATATCACATCATACATACCTGTACATAAAAGATTTGTGTTGGATTCATCAGACCCAGCAACAACTTGATGAGATTAGAAAACATTTTTCTTTATAGAATGTTTAAGTTTCTGACAGCCTTGTTGAGATAAGAATACGTTTTTCTTTATAGAATGTTTAAGTTTCTGACAGCCTGTTTTGGTGCACTGGGAGCTCTTTATTTGCTGTTTCGGATAAAATTTCCATGGTTATATGGCGATATAAAGTTTCTAACAATTGTTATGAAAACTGTTATCCAAGTGGAAAAGAGCAAGAGGAAAAAAGAATTGCCTATAGATTTATTTGAGAGAACAGCTGATAAGTTTTGTCATAAACCGATGATAATCCATAAAGAAAGGTCCTACAGTTTTACAGAAGTGGACAAAATTGCAAATAAAGAGGCAAACGTAGCTCTAGGTCTTGGTTTGAAGCAAGGTGATACCGTGGCCATAATAATATACAATGAGCCCGCTTTTGTTTGGACGTGGTTTGGTAAGCTCATTTAAAGTCTATGATAATAGGAATGTCTTTGAAGTGGCGAATAAATTGCATTTCTCCAGTATAATTAATTTACGTGGTTTGAAGCCTTTTCTCATTGTTTCGATGTTTGTTTTATAAGATAAATATTTCTAATTAATATATGATGATAATATGTATGCATCATTAATTAATAAATTTCAATCAAATACTATCTTATTCCTTAATGAACCTCGTGCACAGTTATTAAGAGAGGAAAAGGTAAAGCTAAAAAACTAACCTAACTTCGCGTTATCATACATGTATGTTGTTCAAAGATTAGTAGACAGTCTGGAAATACTTTTGATACCTAACAGGATTAAAAAGAAGTTGTAAAGTAAGGTGCATATTTTGGAAAAAAATGAAACAAAAATAAATTTCATACTTAAGTTACCGTGGCAAAAAAACAGGACGAAATAGTATTCTTTGTAAAAGTATTTTATTATTCTTGTTTTTGTATCAGCATCTTAGTACAGTTTAGAACGCAAACAGTATGGACACCCAAATCAAAGCTTTATTTATGGTTGGAATATATAGATAACTATAAGAAAAGTCTTGCTATTTAGCTGTGCATGATTTTTTTGCAAAAGAGATACGGAACAAGAAACTGCATAAAATCACCATTTTTCTTTATTCTCGTGAAAGTTTTGACGTTAAACATTGTAAATCTTATTAAATTCATTTACATCTAATGATTTAATGCAATTCGTTTTTTTAGACAATGGGCCACAATGCTTATTCACCTTTGCAAAACGGTTTAAAGCTTAGTTATCATATTTTTCAAATTATTTTATTTTATGTAAAATAATATGTTTCATGACTTATTTACAGGTTTTGAGAAAATTGGAGTAGAAGTTGCTTTTCTTAATTTTAACCAAAGAAAAAAGTCACTTCTTCACAGTATAGTTTCGAGTGAAGCCAAAGCAGTTTTCTTTAACTCAGGTAAGTTTCTGCCTGCATCAAGGGGGTATTTCTGATAGAGAAAAAGACACACACAAAGTAAGTATAAAAGTAAGAAGGTGTGGTATGATTGCCAATGAAACAACTCTCCACAAGAGACCAAATGACACAGACATTTATGAATATAGGTCACCGTACGGCCTTCAACAATGAGTAAAACCGCAGTCAGCTATTATAAAAGGCCCCGAAATGACAAATGTAAAACTATTCAAAGGAGAAAGCTAACGGCCTGACTTATGTACAAAATAATGAACGAAAAACAAATATGATATACAGCAACAAACGACAACCACTGAATTACAGGCTCCTGACTTGGGACAGGCACATATATCATTTTGTACGTTTTACACGTTTTTTTATTCTTTAATCATACAGAATATGTTGCAATGCCTTTACTTGAATTATACGAAGAATAATTGTGCGCTGTTTAGACCATCTCGGTGGTCCCGTTGTAGCCTCGAGTGACAGACGTCGTATTTTCGTTTCCTGGCCGGGTCAAATCAAAGACTTGAAAATAGTTTTTTTGCTCCTCCACCAAACATGAGGCTTGTGGGAATTAGAGAAAAGACTGTTCCTTTCGGAATCAGCATAATGTGTCCGGGAATGGAGACATATCTTCCTTCGGGTGTTACATTGTGAACTTGCACGTTAAAATTCTGGATTAGCGTGTCGGTCTACATGTAGTACAAAACAGATTTCATTTTCAAATCACATTAACATGTTCTCGTTCTGACTATGCATTTAATTTGCCACTGGAAGTAATAAAGCCATCAATCATCTTCTAGATATTCGCATCATTGAAGGGTTCTCATTTTGCATCATGTACAATTTGCAACCAAATGTTCTACTATTTTAAGGTTCCGAACTGTATGCAGCTATAGAAGATATCGCTGAGGAATTAGAAAACATTGACTTGTACACTTTTGATTCAACAGATGTCGAAATACCTTCGATATTCAGACGGTTAAACTTTGAAATGAAGGCTGCACCAGAAGATCGAATCTCACGTGATATGAGGTCAAACGTCAACGTGATGTCTACTAATTGTTTAATTTTCACGTCGGGTACAACAGGTAGGGTATGTCTTTGTAAGGTATATATGGTGGTTATATTTAGGCCTTCAGCAACATAAAAAAAAATGATTGTCTTTTACAATGCGAATTATTTCAAAATGAAAAGAACTTGCATTATTTTGGTGATCAATATTTGTATATATGTACATATAAATTTATATTTGACGCGTCACTTATTACAGTAAGAGCTGAAGGTACAAAACAATAAAAAAAAAGAGAAAAAGTTCACAAAAAGAAACAGAAAAATAGACCTTGGAAGCTCGAAAAAAAAAAGCGAAAAGTGACAAAAAAATCGAAAAAAAACTTAGAAGGTGAAAAAGAGATAAGCGACAATCTTAAAAAAATTGAAAAATTAAGCAAAAAGAAACAATTATTGTCAATTGGATTACTCCTGGAACAGATTCGATAGTAAATCCAATAAATTGTAAGGAAAGAATGAGAGATGATCTATTCTGTAGTAAATGTATTTCCTCACACATGGTTTAACTCTAAAAAGTTGAAAATGTTAATATACTACCTATATCTATTCATATTCATATTGTGCCCCCCGGAAGAGCATCAAAATACAATTAAAATGTGTTGATTGCCCACTTCCACTCACAAATGAATCATTTATTTAAATAAATCATCTCGTATGATTTATTTTTCGTGGTGGAAACAACTGTCATATACACTACTGTAACAAGAGCCCATGAAAAGGCCGTGAAATGTCTGTGAAATATCACAGGGCCGTGAAAACCCCGTGAAAATACCCCGTGACTTTTGTAAAAAAAATATTTCTAAAGGCCGTGAAAAATATTTGATGTTAGAAAAAGACCGTGAAATTTCAATATCCCGTGAAAAGGCCGTGAAAATTTGTCCTTTCATGCTTAATAAAAAATATCACGGCCTTTTCACTGGTTGTTGAAACCAGTGAAAAGGCCGTGATATTTTTTCATGTCAATTTTTTCAATTCTTATCCTAATTCAGATTTAAAACATCCCATGTGATTATTGTAATATGGTCTAATTATTTCCACTCACATTTTTCTAAATATCCTATAAAATTTTCATTATTGAAATATATGTCTGTTTAAATATTATTATATGCAATACTACTGTACAGGACTGACTTTTCAATGGAACTATTCATTGTTATAATTAATGACTTTGTGCCAATAAATATTTTGTATTTAAAGAAAAGTATTTTGCTTCTCATCTGTACATTATTATAAACAATGTAAACATTAATTTTGATTGGAACCGAAACATGTAAAAACGAGAACTTCCCGGAATATCAGACCGTATCCGGATTCGTGTTTCTTTTAGAGTAAATGTAACATTTCCGCAAGCTAGGCCTAGGTAGGAAATTTGAAAGACGCCGAAGGTCGATTAATATTTACTTTATAGATGCAAGACGAGTGACAGCAAGTTTGAGGTAAGTTAAGTTATTAATATTTTATTCTTTTATGCATCATATCACCAAAATGTTGATGACGTTTGTGAGCATTTCCATTGAACTGATTTTCACTGAATTTGCAGAAACCGCGCAAACATGCATGTGATATATTCACTTATATTTGAGTCTGTTGCACATGATTCCTTTAATCGTTTTGGTTAATGTTTTCTAAGACTTACAGGATCCTTTAAATACGATTACGGTTTTGTTTTGTTTATAATATGTATTTGGGGAAAAAAGGGGGGGGGGGGTCCTTTTTCCCCACACTGCCACTGGCCACATAAAAAAAAATTCGTAAGGGTTCCGCGGAACCCAGTGTCTCGCCTTCTTTTGCTGTTAATCGCAGGCTCAACAAAAATGAGGAAAAAAATTAATAAAAATATTCCTCTCTATACAATCTTTTGATTGTAAGTAGCTTCCGTCCAAGTTTGGTAAAAATCCAGGATAGTTTATGAATCTAATAAATGTTTTAAAAACTTAAACTGCAGACTGTATGTAATGTTAACTGGAAGAAAAACTAAGTCCATATAAGTAAAATACGGAAAAAATGGGAAAAAATTTTAACAAAATTTCCTTCTAGATACTAGCTTTTAATCATAAACAAGCTTCTGTCCAAGTTTGGTACAAATCCAGGATAGTTTAAGAAAGTTGTTAAAATTTTAAAAACTTTAACCACAGAGTGCATGTAATGTTAACTGGCAGAAAAACTAAGTCCATTTATAAGTAAAATACGGAAAAAATGGAATTTTTTTTTTACAAAATTTACTTCTGGATACTATCTTATGATCATAAACAAGCTTCTTTCCAAGTTTGGTAGAAATCCAGGATAGTTTAAGAAAGTTATTAAAATTTCAAAAACTTTAACCACAGAGTGAATGTAATGTTTCCTGGCAGAAAAACTAAGTCCAATTATAAGTAAAATACGGAAAAAATGGAATTTTTTTTTTACAAAATTTACTTTTGAATATTATCTTATGATCATAAACAAGCTTCTGTCCAACTTTGGTAGAAATCCAGGATAGTTTAAGAAAGTTATTAAAATTTCAAAAACTTTAACCACAGAGTGAATATTTGTGGACGCCGCCGCCGACGCCGACGGAATGTAGGATCGCTATGTCTCGCATTTTCGACAAAAGTCGAAGGCTCAACAAAAATGACATTTATGTACAGTACACTACGTAGACATAGACATAGATAATTGGAAATGATTATAATAGCAATAAGTATCTCTGAAATGGAGTTCACTCTGATAATCAGAGGCGTAACCCCCTTTGAATGTGTCGGGAGCTATTTAAGTATTTTCTGACTTGGCCGTCGGGACACAGAGTTCAAAAGGGATTAATCAGAGGCGTAGCAGGGAAAGTATTTAATATTTGTACGGCAAAATGTCCTTTCTAGAAGGGTTTGTGCCATATCATAAGAATAATTGGTATGGCAATGAGGTGTTTAAAAAATAATTGGTATGGCGAATGTGCCTGCAGTAAAAGTTGCTACGCCCCTGGCCCCCTGTAAAATAAATAGCTGTGACTCATTACGGCCACTTAGTCTAGACAAGTTTGACTTTAGCCATACATATTATTACTTCAAAGAAACATTTAAATTTAATAGTCTGTCTTAAAAGTGTCTTTAGTCTTTAAAAAAATCTAAAAAAAATAATATAAGTTGACAATACAGAACTTCGTTAACTAATGATGCCATATATATTGGATAGGGGCAGATTTTCTGGAAAATGGTATGAAAATATGAGAAAACCTATGCATGTTTCCAAGTGGCTGTTCTGTTTCAGTGATGTTTTTTAGTATTTTTCATACCATTTTTACCTCCAGTATGAAAATCTGCCCCCTATTCAATATGGGGTCATTAACCGTGAAGTCGTGTATTGCATGGAGTATTGTAGCTGTTTTAAGTACATGTATGTACATTAATGCCAAAAATTAATTTGAATATATAAATAGTTTTTTTATATACATAATGTACATGTATAATATATGTAATGTTTCTTTATTTATTCTAGGAATGAAGAGCAAAAGGATATAGCAGTCTTTATATAAAATAGTTCAGGAATCCAGTTGGAAAGAAGAGCTTTTCAGTTAAAACTATTTCCTGGAAATTAACAGGAACTTCTATAAATGAGTTTTCTGGAATAGTTATTCAAAAGGGCAGTGAAGTGAAGGATTACATTAGACAAATATTGCTGAAGTGGTAAAATAAGACCTAAGAGATGTACAAAATTTCTACAATACATGTTACAGCTGACTTTAGCTACTTAATCACATTGACATTTGTGTGCTTTTATGTTTTCTTTCACATACATGTAATTACTACAGTTCTATTAAAATTAATATTTTTATTCTTTGTCACAATTATTACTAAAAAAAATACAGCATTTTAATATGGTTTTTCATAGTCTCACTTGCATTGTACTTAAATAAGTTGTCTGTAGATGTTTACACTAGGTTTTCAGGCATTTCACTGCACTTGATTGAAACGGCATTTAAATTTTTTGTTAAATTATGGCCTGAAAAATACATTTAACATTTTACAGGAGTTTTCACAATCAGTGAATGGCTGTTTATCACAGTAGTACATGTACATTTCACGGTCTTTTCACAATGGGCACATAATTTATCACGACTTTTTCACGGTGTACATTTTTGTTTTTCACAGGGTTTCTACGGTCTCTTTACCCAAGTTTTCACAGCCTTTTCACGACAAAAAAAGGCATATACTGTACTATATCTACATTTCACGGTCTTTTTACAATGGGCACATAATGCATTATCACGACTTTTTCACGGTGTACAATTTTTTTTTCACAGGGTTTCTACGGTCTTTTCACCCAAGTTTTCAGGTGGCACCTCTTCACGGCCTTTTTCACACACTTTTCACAGCCTTTTCACGACAGTCATTCCACGGTATTGTCATGGATAAGTTTCACGGCCCACCGTAAATTAACCGTGACAAACACTGTAAAAATCACCAGCAATTTTACGGATATTTTCACGGCCAATCTACGGGGCATTGTTCCAGTAGTGATACCTATCAATGTATATATTTCTAAGTAGAAATGAATGAAAGGGATGTCAAGTAAATCAACGATAGGAAAACAATCTAGTGGTCACCATACAGTCCAGTTAGACTGGTAGTAAGTACGCCGAATTTAGGTTAATCGTCTCGGAGTCAGAAAGAGTGTGTGCGGGTTTGGGCGACTTGTCATTAATTAATTGTGTACTACCACGTTGAAAGTGTTGCCCATCATGTCGGTCTAGTACAAATCAGGATTCACATTTACATCATATACATGTTCTCGTATAATATGACCTAATATTTGCCCCTGGAGTTTGAATACCAGATCATCATCACCAAAATTGGTAAATACGTATACAGCATATCTTCTGCTAGGGCAAGCTATTGGTATTTGTTATTCACCGGTAGTCAGCGGGCAGTCCGCTTTCTTTCGTTTAAAAACTAATTTCAATTCAAAGGTACGTACACAAATGTAGGTATTATAATAGAAAATTGATTGTATTCCCATTGATCAAAGCGATTGTTTTATAGAACCTTATCAATTGCCAGATTGTTCTTTTTTATCAACCCCTATTAACTACTCTTCATAATTATGCGTAATTGATATTCATTTTAGGTTTACCGAAACCTGTTATTGTGACACATTTAAAGTGTTTATTTGCTGGGTTTTTATTGGCATACAGAACCAGTACCACTTCAGATGATATACTTTACACATGTCTTCCCCTTTACCACTCTGCTGGATCAATGTTTGGAGTCGGAACTATAAGAAGATATGGTAAGCCATGATGTCATATTTTCTAAATTAATAAAGTTATTGCTACTGAGGTTTGAGGTCTCTTGAATTTCTAATTCCGATGTTTTAAAAGCAATTTCTACTTTTTAATAAACTCGCAGAATCAGTGATATTAACGTTTATTTGTTCATTGTATTTGGTGCAACAACAAAAATAAAAGTATAAAGGTGAATTTGCATCAGACAAGTTTTAATAATATGTAAGTAAATGTGTTATTTAGCGAACTTTAAGTTGTATTAATAGAAAAACAAAGGAAATTAAACTGTTTTCAAAGATGTATTTCTTTTATATATGCACTGCAATTAAGGACGCTTCGAAAGATCAAATATTGTATGAAAAGTCATTTTAGAGCATAAATACTTTGAAAAAATAAATCATACTCCTATCCTCTACCCTTGTCCCTACATATAAGATGTGGTTCTTTGGAATTCTGACCGACGATGTTGTCCTTTTTTTAAAACTTGTTTATATTATTTATTTAAAAGTTAATTAATTCCTTAAAACTATTTGATGTCTCCAGGAGTAATCGTAAATAGATGTATCCCTGAACTCATTATAGATACCAGGATTAAACTTGTGTACCCCCGACGCGCGTCTGTAACACAACAAGATAGTTAGTTAACAGTTTATTTATTTACGCCAAATGAGCCGATGTGTCCCATACAGTAAATACATAGGTATATATACAGAATATAACAGTTTGTCAAAGTTTCTATTAATTTGACAATAATAGTTTTAATTCTAAAGGTACATGGATGAATATCTATTAAGTTGACTCTAATTGACATGTTTTGACTAAGCTGGAAATTGATAGTTGTAGAATACACGTATGTCCAGTCTTTTAACTAATTGTTATTACAACATGTCACCATCTGGTCTGCATGTAAACATGTTTTTAAAGTTATATGCAACGTAGTGGTCAATTAAAACAACCTTTCCCAAGGTCATGATTTTCTCAATAGATATTCCCCTGTATTTATTTTATTCAATTTAATAAACATTTTGAGAATATATAATCATAAATATAAATATAAATATATATATATATAAATATATATATATATTCTAAGCCCATCATATTGTCACACGTCTACAAAAGACTCGTCAGTGACGCTCGAATACATTTAAAAAAAAGCCAAATAATGTTTGAAGTTGAAGAGCATTGAGGACCCTAAATTCCGAAAAGTTTTGCTAAATAATCTATTCCTATGGGTATAAAATCCTTAGTAGTTCAAAACTTTTGTAAAACAGTTGATTTATGATTGTGACATTTAATTGATAATTTATCCAACACAGAAGTGCTGACTACTGGACTGGTGATACCCTCGGAGAGAAAACATCCAACAGCAGATAGGCGAAGCTGCATTCTTTGGTTAGAATTATTATTCTATTATTTTGATGAGAGATAGTAAAAATTATGTTAAAGAGCGATTGAAAACGTCAATGTTTATAATACAAATATGCCACTTACTTTACCCTTAAGGAATAACAATGGTTCTGTCCGAAAGATTTTCTGCCAGCAGGTTTTTCCAGGAATGCCGTCAGCATAATGTCACCATAATTCAGTACATAGGAGAAATGTGCCGCTACTTAGTCAATAACCCCAAGGTAGGTAATGGGTGTTTTATTCTGTTGGTAAGGTAAACTGTCTTGGTTATGGATTTAGACCATTATGTTACATTTTGTACTTTATCATAGTGCCTGCTTTCATAATTACCTTCAACGGGTTTCAACGGTGGAGCCTTTAAAAAATCTAGAATGTGTGCTTCCACATGTTGGATCATCCAACTTTGTATTTACATTTGATAATTTTGCAGACTCCCATGATGCTGAACTTAGAAAATATCCAGCAGTATTCCCGATCGATATACTATTTCGTGTACTGTAATCAAATCTTACAATAGTTATCAGTTTGTTTTTTCATTTAACTTTTTAACTTAAGTATTTTTACAAATAAGTTTATTTAAACCTATCTTCTGAAACTAGATCCAGATCATTAAGACCAAGTGTTTGATTGTGAGTGTTGATTATTACGGTGCTTATACATCTTTGGTTTTTATCTCGCCTATTTTAGTATGCGAGGCATAGGGATTACAATCCGGCGGCAGCGTAAACTAATTGTATAAATCTTTATATTTCAAAAGGTAGAAGACACGAATGCTTTATACCTTGTATGCAGATACCTTATGTTACGACGTTTCCGTCTGTTTTATGTCCATGATCCTTGACCTCATTTTCGTGCTTCATTTACTGCATGAAAAAAAAATTATTTTTGGTAAGTGAAATACTCACTTAATATGAGTAATAGGATAACTATATTTGGTATATGGGTTCCTTGCAACGTCCACATGTCCATCATGTGGGGTCCACATGTCGTTCAGTAGGGGTCCAACTGACCTCGACCTGATTTCATGGATCAGTGATAAGGTTAAAGTTATGTGGTCAAGTCCGTTTCTCAGATACTATAAGAAGTAGGTCAACTATATGTGGTGTATGGAATGATTGTAATGGGTACATGTCACAGTGTTCTCCATTTTTAGCTCACCGGGGCCCGAAGGGCCCCATGTGAGCTTATGCTATCACTTGGCGTCCGTCGTCGTCCGTCGTCTGTCGTCGTCGTCTGTCGTCGTCTGTCGTCGTAAACTATTTAAAAAATCTTCTCCTCTGAAACTACTGGGCCGAATACCTTCAAACTTTAACTAAATGTTCCTTAGGGTATCTAGTTTATAAATTGTATCCGAAGTTTTGATCCATCGACAAACATGGCCGCCATGGCTAAAAATAGAACATAGAGGTCAAATGCAGTTTTTGGCTTATATCTCAAAAACTAAAGCTTTTTGAGCAAATCTGACATGGGGTAAAATTGTTTAGTTGTTCAAGATCTATCAGCTCTGAAATTTTCAGACGAATCAAACAACCCATTGTTTGCTTGCTGCCACCGAATTGGTAGTTTTAACAAAATTTTGCAGTTTTTTGTTATTATTTTGAATATTATTACAGATATATATAAACTGTAAGCAGCAATAATGTTCAGCAAAGTAAGATCTACAAAAAAAGTTAAGTGACCATAATTGTCAATTGACCCCTTAAGGAGTTATTGCCCTTTAAAGACAATTTTACACAATTTGTTCATCAAGTTTGCTAACATTTAAAAATCTTCTCCTCTAAAACTACTGGGCCAATTACCCTCAACATTTAACTAAATGTTCCTTAGGGTATCTTGTTTATAAATTGTATCCGAAGTTTGTATCCATCGACAAACATGGCTGCCATGGCTAAAAATAGAACATGAGGGTCAAATGCAGTTTTTGGCTTATATCTCAAAAACTAAATCTTTTAGAGCAAATGTGACATGGGGGTAAAATTGTTCAGTTGGTCAACATCTATCAGCTCTGAAATTTTCAGACGAATCGAACAACCCATTGTTGGGTTGCTGCCACCGAATTGGTAGTTTTAACAAAATTTTGCAGTTTTTTGTTATTATTTTGAATATTATTATAGATATATATAAACTGTAAGCAGCAATAATGTTCAGCAAAGTAAGATCTACAAAAAAGTTAATATGCCCAAAATTGTCAATTGACCCCTTAAGGAGTTATTGCCCTTTAAAGACAATTTTACACAATTTGTTCATCAAGTTTGCTAACATTTAAAAATCTTCTCCTCTGAAATGCAGGTGAGGGATTCAGGCTCTTGAAAGCCTCTTGTTCACTAAGGTAAGGTGGGTGTTGTGAAAAAATTACTTGCAACCGGGTGTTTTTGTTTTTGTTTTAACATTTCCAACCGGGTTTTTTACTGTTGGAGGGGGTCACAAAAAGAAGGATTAGTATTGTATACACATTTAATAAAATTGAACTGTTCTTCTGCTATCACTGCTAGCCATTCATTTGACAAATTAGTTTTGCGGATCTCGGATATGGCTTTTGTAGGACTCCCTCCTCCTGCATATGCATAGCTTATCGATCCAAGTTTCTGTCCTGTTCCTCGCTTTAGTGCTGTATTTTTGGAACACAAAGCAGTAATATCCTCCTTCTGTGACGATTAGCCATTTAAAGTCCTGTTCATATTTATCAAATGAGGGGTAACCTCTCAATGTAATGACTATCTCTTTTATGAGGGGTACATTTAACGAGATACAAATGATCACATATTTATTTTATTTACAGAAAATTTTCTCAAAGAACAATACATCTATTTGGTATTATATGGTCCAAACATGTCCAAAAACTTTGTAATATTCCTGGACTTATATCTTCTTTATCATTAAAAATAATGGGACCTTCTTTTAGAAAAGTTGGTCTGAATATAACGATTTTTTCCCCTTTTGAGTTAAAAAATCTAAGTTTTTCTCTTTTCTTTTCTTCAACAGAATTAACATAACCTCTTGCCAGAGAGACAGTCCTCGTTTAAGGGATATCACTCATTTGGGGGTAGACGTATTTACACTTGTATGTAAAATCATACAGGTTCCCGTAAACTTTTCCCAACCTGTTTATCTTCGCGATCGCTTCTGTGCCTTTTTCGTTGTTTTGATACTTTTTATTCCATTTCAACAATTTCAATACAACTATCCGTTTTAGTTGACTTATTTGGCCTAGAATTTTCCTTATCACCATCGTCATCTGCCTGTCTCTTCCCCCGATTAATAAAAGAAAACATTGAAATTTGATGATCGGCCATTTTTGTCAATGAAAACAATCAGTGAGGCGCGATTAGTATTTAAATTTTTAAGATGCGGAACAGAAAAAAATCCGGAATTTGAAAAAAAGCCGACCACCTCCTAAAATGGAAAGGTGGTCGGCTTTCAAAAGAAGGTGGTCGGCACACCAGGCTTAAATGTCGAATGTAAAACACTGTTTCAGTCTGGCAGATTTCATCTGACCTTGACCTCAATTTCATGGTTCATTGGTCAATGTTAAGTGTTTGCGTTTTGGTCTGTTTTTCAAGTACTATAAGCAATAGGTCAGCTATATTGGTGTAGGAATAATGGTAAGGTGTACATGTCTGTCTGGCAAGTATCACCTGACATTGACCTCATTTTCATGGTTCATTGGTCAATGATAAGTTTTTGTGCTTTGATTTGCTTTTCAATTACCATAAGCAATAGGTCAGCTATATTGGTGTAGGAATAATGGTAAGGTGTACATGTCTGTCTGGCAAGTATCACCTGACATTGACCTCATTTTCATGGTTCATTGGTCAATGATAAGTTTTTGTGCTTTGATTTGCTTTTCAATTACCATAAGCAATAGGTCAACTATATTTGTTGTATGGTGTATATATTAGTCTGACAGGATTTATCTGAACTTGATCTCAATGTCATGGTTCTTTAAAAATGTTAAGTTTATGTGATACTTTATTTGTGTAAACCTTTTTTGTAAGACTTTCAACATAAATCAATGGTCAGTAAAGCAGGTGAGACATTTCAACGTGTGCACTCTTGTCAAATATATGACTTAAAACGTTCCTGATTAAGGTGAACCAAGGAAAGCGAATAAGACGCATACAATTATTGTGTCATTTTCCGTTTTTTACATTTAAAGCCTGTCAAACATAATATTATACAGAGATTATTTCTGGGCTTGTTAATCGGTTTGGAATTTGTTTTTATGTTTACCTTTTTTTGTTCTTTCTCAGAAAAAATATGAAAAAAATCTGAATTAAGACATGGCAAGCATTTTACTATGCACACATACGACAGAATTTAATGTTCAACAAGTTTCATATGTTACTTGAATAACTTTAGCTGGTAAATTATTCGTGGAGACAAAAACAAAACGTAGATGTTAAAGTCCGTGTATTAAAAAAAAACTTTTTTCCGGACCAGTCTTCCGTTAGCTAAAATGTAAACGTTTTTGTCAAAAAGATTTTTAATTATTGCACATTCTGTGCGTGAAAACAAACTTCCATATTTACCAATATCAATCTTAATATTTAATTTAAGAATACAATTGATACAGAACACTCAGTAAAGGCTGCCATTGGAAATGGACTGAGAAAAGATATATGGAGTGAATTCCAAAACCGTTTTAAGATAGAAGATATCATAGAGATTTATGGTGCTACTGAACTTTCATTTGGATTTGGTAATCTTTACAATGCAGTTGGGGCAACTGGACGAATAACACCTCTATTGGTAAGGATACATTTCTTGGTCCTGTTTAAGGATTGTTTTCTTCAATACTTTTGATTTTTATACGTGTAATTTTGTGGATAAAACGATATCTTCTATTAACTTGGCGAATGAGCATGTTTATTTCATTTCATTCTTTCATTCAAAAATAACAAAAAGTGCACCTCCGAAATGTCTTAACCAGACCATAAAGGTCTTTAAACAAAGAATCCTGTTATAATTGTTAACAATTTACACAAACAATAACAACGACAGATATTACTGTGACGGAAGTGATTATACAGATTAACAAGCACTGACAGCATTAATCCTTGGCATTTGTTGTTAACATTTGCATTTAAATTATATGTGTTTTTTGTGACTCTTAGTTTGCTAGATGCATTTTAAATCATGGTCTCTAAGTGTTTTAATTCTATAAACATTTGTAAAAATGCGAGTTTCAAATCAATTTTATAAATTTAAATCATGAGATTATTTTATTTTTCAGAAAATTTTACTTCCGATAGCATTTATCAACTTTGACTCTGTTACTAACCAGCCTGTCCGTAATGATAAGCGACGATGTGTTCCGGTGGAGACAGGTACGAATTTAATTTTGATACCAAGAAAAAAAAAATCTTTATAGTCAATAACCTACAAAATCAATTTACTTTTATAATTGTCGAATTTTCATGTTTTTTATATAAATATTTTTATACATCTTAAATACATGATGGAAGTTCAGACATTTTGTAACAAATATTCGATAGTAAATAAAACAGCATACAAATTGAAATTTTGATTTTTGTTGAGAAACTTCATGCTGACACGGATTTCTGATTTCTGTTTGTGGTGAATATAAGACACTCTTATTTTGTAGGTGAACCTGGGCTTTTGATAATCAGATTCGATAAGCGAATGCCTACTGAGGGATATAAAAACAAAGAAGAAGCAAATAAAAAGAGATTCCTTTATAATGTATTTAAAGATGGAGATAAATACATCAATTCTGGCGACTTACTCTACATTGACAAGGATTATTACATATTCTTTTATGACTTGGCGATACATTTAGGTAAGATATATATGGGTAGCCATCAATTATATCTCTTGAAGAATTTCCTTTCCCTTTTTCCTTTTATGGTCTCACAAATGTACGTATGTATTCATAACATTTGCTTACAGAAATCATATAGTGTCATCAGAATATATTTACTTACCAAGTCAGGAACCTGTTATTCAGTGGTTGTAGTTTGTTGCTGTACATCATATTTGTTTTTCGTTTATTGTTTTATAAATAAATTAGGCCGTGCGTTTTTAGTTTGAATTGTTTAAATTTTGTTCTTTCTGTGCCTTTTATTGCTAAATATGCGGTATGGGTCTTCCTCATTGTTGAAGGCCATACGGTGACCTATAGTTGTTAACTTCTACGTCATTTGGTCTCTGGTGGAGAGTTGTCTCATTGGAAATCATACCACATCTTTTTATTTTAATATTAACTGCACCCTTTGCTATCTTCCAGATTCATTACACGAAATCAAGAGAATCACCTATGAATATAGTTGTACGTATGCATGTTTTAAAATAATACAGAATTTAGTTTGTGAGGTTGAAAGGTAAACAAAAATGTCAACTACTGCATTAGATTATACTATATCTGATCTATCATTTTTATGTATCTGTTTTATAGATGGAAAGGTGAAAACGTGTCTTCTTCTGAAGTAGCTAACACTATATCTGAGCTATCATTTATAACAGATACATGTGTTTATGGTGTTACGGTGCCAGGTAATTATGTTTACATTAAACGACATGTATGTGGTAAAATAGTTCCTTGTCATACTTAATTGTAGACTTGGGGCGATTGAACGATTGATGCTGTTTATTAACAGTTGTACATTTTTAAGGAGCAAATTTTGACATCAAAGATGTCTCCCATAAATGGTGTAGCTCATTCTCATTTAGGATAAGGTCTCATCATGTGGAAAATTTTTAAAGTTAAAGATCAATTGTTATTGACAGGCGACCGAAGACGTTTTCAGTTTGATTTTTCCTAAACATTATATGTATATATGTTTGATTTCATAAACATTATATGTATATATGTTTGATTTCATAAACATTATATGTATATATGTTTGATTTCATAAACATTATATGTATATATGTATGATTTAAACGAGGTTTGGGCTCAATGTAAATTTAAGAACAAAATATCAAGACTGTAATAGACATGACATTTGTTTGCGACTGAATAGAATGTGTTGTTGAACCCCACAAGAGATGCTCAGTGGCAAGAATTGAGGTAGCCATAGGAACTACTCAATCAATCTGCCATCACAGTTTTGAATAGACAAGAAAGTTGGAAAGAGCAGGAATGATGAGATTAGTGCTCGTTTTTTTAAATTTTGACTCTTACAATTATGAAGTAGAATAGATACACGTGTTGTTTGTATAGTCGAAGTATAGTTGTGTATGCGTTATACTACAAGACAAAACATAAGAACAGGCTATTAGGACGTTAGTTTTCTCGTTTGAATTGTTTTTTTTCATTTGTCATTTCGGGGCCTTTTATAACTGACTATGCGGTATGGGTTTTGTTCATTGTTGAAGGCCATACAGTGACCTATAGTTGTTAATTTCTGTGTCATTTGGTCTCCTGTGGAAAGTTGTCTCGTTGGCAATTAGACCACATCTTTTTTTTTATATTAACAAGTAACTTGTTATAAACCTTTACAATTCATTACAGGTCATGACGATGTTAAATCACTGCCATACAATCTTACTTAAATCTAACTTTTCTTTAGCTCTCCAAAAACAGAAGGCTGATGTTCGGTGTTTATATTTAATGTTTTGTCCTATTCACATCTACTGTTACAGTTGATATGGTTGAAATAATGTACATTCTTTTTGCTATGACAGCTTACTTGTAAAGATAGTAGGTAAAGAAGACGCAACAGTTGTTTACCGATGTTCAAATCTCATAAATCAATTCATGACAGGCAGCTCAAGGTAAAAAAATAATCAAATTAAATGAGGAAATCGTATGAACTTTAAAAGAAGCGATACCAAGTATGTCGACATGGTAAAAAAATTCATCAAAGACACCAAAACTTATAATTTTGTAAGCCAGACGTAAGCGTCTCCTTATATGCATGTATTACTCGACATGCAAATCCGCATTCAAATGTCGCAATAGGGAATAGCACAACATCAATAAATTGACAGTCAGAAAACTATTCTAAAGATCTAAATCGGCGAAAACATGGCGCTAGTAAGTTGAGACACAGACACCACGTATCAGTCTACTATTTCGTGATGATGACAGTAATACTTATGAAGTGTCGATTTCAGTCGTACCTGTTGTAGAAGTTTTGTGAAAGGACCACACCCATTTGAATGAAGTTAGTAACGAGCATTATAGATTGTAAACAGTTCTTTTTGATAATTTGAATTTAGAACCTTAAGTTTGTTATTACAAATAATAATTATCTCACAACAGCTCATATTGTGTTTGTTTGATAATTCAGGTTGTGAAGGAAGAGCTGGGATGGCAACAATACATTTGGTTGATTCTGACAATGTAGAACCGACTGACGAAATGCTTTCTAAAATAGAGGAACAATGTAGAACGCAACTAGCAGGATATGCTATTCCAAGATTCTTAAGATTTACTCGTTTTCTAGATATTACCTCAACTTTCAAACAAATGAAGACTACGCTTAAAAGGGAAGGTTTTGATATTAACTTGACAATAGAACCAATTTATTATTTTGATATCAGGGGGCAAAAGTACTGTAAAATCGATAACGACATCTATTCAAACATCATCGATAAGCGTATTAATTCTTAATGTATTTGATGCCTGTAGAATTGTGTCTTCAAAATACTAGCATTAAGAATTTAATTTCAAATGTATTTTTTAAACTTCTTTTCAATGTAGCATGTAACAATATGTTGCTAAAATTAACCTAAATTAATCTATATCTCAATTGGTACCCCATTTGCGTTTTTAAAAAACTACTGGGTCTAAATGGCTGCTTTGGATTGCAAATGGGTACCTGAGGATAGCATCCGTCAAAACCCCAGCTTACCATTGAGTCGGAACTGTATGAACTGGCATGATTAAAAGGATACATTTTTCAAAAATATTTGTACACTTTCAGGTTACAATTCTGTGTATGCCCTTGACAACAAATTTGATCTTATATGTATTTTAGAATTATTTGGTTAGCATGATTGAAAAGGCCCTTAAGTTTTTTATGCCTCTCGAATGATTCTCGTGTGGTATTCTTACTTTATGTCAGTGAGGACAGTATTGAATTATATTACTGTTGAAGACCACATGAATTGCTTTCAATTGGTATAAACAATTTTACAAATGTACTTATATGTTATTGTCGCAGCTACGTTTATTCAGATTTGATTGTTTAAAATTTATGGTTGTTAAAGCAATACGATTTATTGATAGTTGATTGCATAACGTCCAACGGTCAATTCTACTTGAATATTCGGGACGAGAAATTAACAATAAATAATACATGTTCTCCAAAGAGGTTCGACCGGGTTGATGAGCGCAAATTTACACTGCCACTGGAAAATGGGGCTATGCTGGATACGGGTAGAAATTTTACCTTGCAATAGGTAACCTACGGACCCCTCAAACAGTTATCGCAGGAGTTGTTGCAAGAGTTGTTGAGAGAGACGGAAGATACGAGAGGGACAATCTAAATTGATAAGTCGTAGAGAAACGTTAGTAGTACCAGAATATATAAAATTACTTTTTGTTTTAAAATGAAAATGCTTGTTTGCGCTATTAAATAATATAAAAGGCAAAAATATTATGAAAACATATACATGGTATATTCCAACATAATCATAGAAATGTGTGATGTCCGTATGTGGTATTGCATAATTGTCTTTAAAATCTTGATATCACTATGGTGAAGGAGTTTTAACTGTTTGTGCAGCTATCATAGTATTGAAGAATGAATGTGGATCCGTCAGTAGATCTTGTGGTGCACCAGATTCTATTACCTAAAAAATAATAAACAAATTCTGATACATGTATATGTTTTTGTCCTTTGAATAAAAAAAATGCATTCTAGACCTAAAAGAATAAAATCTTCATTGGCTTATTTTGGTTGAAAAACAAATCCGTCAAACAATATTCTGTAAGCTTAAAAACATAACCAATTTTCACAAAACTGATTTTCAAATTGCAATGCTGTAAACATTCATATCATATTTCAATATATAATTACCATTCATTCATATTGTTAATACAAACGTTTATAACCAATGAAAGAAGGTTTGGAGGATACCAATTTAACACCGTAGTAACAAATATAACTAAATATGTATTGCTATACATTTATCAAAAAGTAAAATAACAAAAATACCGAACTCCAAGGAAAATTCAAAACGGAAAGTCCCTGATCAAAGTTATGGTCCTACATGCATCCTGTCGATACTATGTACTTATATTTTGGCATTGCACAATGTCGTGTATTTCTCAGAAAGTTTTGTTACGTCTTTATACCAAATCTGTTGGATATGTACTGATTGATACTATAGGAATGGATAACATGAATTATTTATTAGTAGTTATTGTCTTTGTACTAGTTTTTAGTTCTGCGAGGGAGGATTGAGCGATCACATACATATCTAATCCTGCCACATCATGTATGTGCCTGTCCAAAGTAAGAAGACAGTAATTCAGTTGTTGTCGGTGGTTCGTGTTTGTAATATTTGTTTTTCGTTTATAGTTTTGTCGAAATCAGGTCCTTGGTTTTATTCGTTTGAACTATTTGGTCATGTTGGAGCCTTTTGATGCCGATAATATGGTATGGGTTTCGCTCTTTTTTGACAGCCGTACGTTGACTAATAGTTGTGTAAATCTGTTTCATTTGGATAGTCGTCTTATTGGCAATCATACCATATTTCCTTATTTTATATTGGTTTTATTTTGACAATATGCCGATTTCATCAAAATTTCAAACGGACCGACCGGAGGTGATGAGATGCTGTGTAAAAAGTGTTTAAAGTGTTTCAAGATACCTCAATCAAAACAAGATAACAAAGAGGTTAACGTATAAAATTAAAAAAAGTATTTTCATATTAATTAAGTTACTTCTCCATTATCCATAATCATGATGAGGTCAGAGTGTAGAACTGTATTTAGTCTGTGAGCTATGGTCACTACTGTACAATCACTAAATCCTTCTTTAATAGTTTTTTGGATAAGAGAATCCGTTTGTGTGTCAATAGAAGCTGTTGCTTCATCCAAAAGTAAAATCTGAAAACCATGTTATACACAGATAAGTTTAATTTAACAACAAAATATACTTAAAGATACAGATTGAGTAAATAACATTACAATTTCCGGGAAGGATTTTATAAATTATTTTTCTTTCAGTAAAATACATGCAGTATTACTATCAACTCTGCGTGATTGTGTAAACTAAAGTAATCACAATCTTAACGGCTTTCTCTACTGCAGATACAATAATTGTAAATCAATAACTGTTGTACTCGATGGCAAATTACTGAAATTACTGATGACAAAAATCTGCTGTACACGAAACGAATTGTTTTGAATTTCAAACGAGGAACATAGGTCCTATTGTATCTGCAGTAGTGAAGGTCGGTAGAATGATATGGTGAAGATTCAAAATCATATGGAACCAAATAATTTGATTTCTACGAGTAATCAAACATTGGTTTCTGGTCATATAGTACTTCAACTGTTTCGGTTCATTTCTCTACACAGTTGATATCACTAAATCTTGATTAAGAAAGCAAAATGAGGATGTCAAATTTGATGTATTCCTTTTTGTGCTTCTTTTGTTTGTTTTTATAGTAATTAAGATGATAACACAATGTTGACTGCTGTACCCCTATTTTTGACATTTTTACCTATTGTGTCTGTTTGTTTTGTTCACGCATCGTTGTCAATATGATGGAATTTGATGCGACTGTCTTACAAGTGAGAGGTTTAGCTAGCTATAAAACCAGGTTCAATCCACCATTTTCTACATAAGAAAATGCCTGTACCAAGTCAGGAATATGACGGTTGTTATCCATTCGTTTGATGTGTTTGAGCTTTTGATTTCGCCATTTGATTAGGGACTTTCTTTTTTGAATTTTCCTCGGAGTTCAGTATTTTTGTGATTTTACTTTTTTGATTTAGCAAAGCAATTCCTAGTCGTGCTTAATAAAATATGAACATACCTTGTTCTTTCTTAATATTGCTCTTGCTAGGCATATTAGCTGTCGTTCTCCAACTGAGAAATTTTCACCATTTTCTTCTATTTGATAGTCGAGGTCTTGATCGAATTGCTGCACCTAAGTAACAATCAATTACACAGAATTGTAAGATTTAAATCAAAAGCGATGACTTGTATGACTGAACCGATAAAACTGTTGATACATTGGTTGAGAAGGTCTATAAAATACAGTCATTCCACAAAAACGAACTCATGCTTCAAAATGCCTTCCAATCAACTGAGCTTTTCACTTTATAAATCAAAATGGTTCTTCAAATAAGAACAGTATTTTTAGTCACAAAGCAAGGCGTATTTAGCATTTATTCTAAAGCGTTCAAAAACGCTTCATATGTATGTGAATAAACAAAAAAAAGAGCAATTAATAAGTTATGATAAATACATGGTGGTAATTTTGCAAATACTTTAATATGTATGACAATATATGTTATAGCTTTCCACCAAGAGATATAATCCAAAACTATTAAAACGAGAAATTCACGAGGTCCGAGGGATACAGGGTAAATAACCTTATATTTTTAATAATTTTGGATATAAACTTTTAATGAAGGATGTCATTCTATTATCATACTAACTATCTAAATATGGGTGTTGGAGTCTTTTTGTTGCAGAATATTTCATATGTAAATCCGAATTGCAACCGGATCATGTCACCGTCGCCATTTTCACCCAGAAACAAAAATAGGAGGAACATAGCTACTTCTTTCTTCGATATGGAAATGCGGCCAAATTGACAAATTTGACAAGATTTATTTTTACAATGTTCATATTCTCATGCAATTATTTTGCCTACAAGTATTTTTGCGACGCGAAAAGGATTATGTTTCTCGTGGTAAGAAAAACATATTGCAATTGCTTTTTCGTTTTATTAATTGTTACTAAATAATATTTGATAATAACTGTTATTATTATTTTAACGTTCAGCAATTTCAAAACTCAATTGACAAAGTGAGTTAAATAAAGTAAGTTTTGGTTTAGACCACTCAACGATAGCCTTAATATACCAAAGAGATTTTCAAACTCCTATGTCGAAAAACAAACTGACAATACCATGGCAAAAACATAAAAAACAACAAAATGATTAATAATAGTACATAGAAAACTACGGACCGAGCAACATGATCCCCACCAAAACCGGGGGTGGTCACAGGACCTTTAGAAGGGTAAGCATGTGGCACCTGTCGTGTTGCTCGTAAAAGTACAAATCCGGTGATAAGTCTAATTCGGTTGCTCATGATCACATTCGAAGAAAAGGGGCGGGATTGTGGTCACGAAAATTTAAACATATCTATCTACCCCAACAGAAAATTAAACGTTGCAATTATATGCATATTGCAGACACTATATATATACAAACGAAGGACCGTATTTACTGATTTACCTTTTCCTTCAGGTGCACATTCTCTAGTGAACTCCAAAGTTCTGAATCTGGATGTTTTCCGAACGGGTCAAGGTTGTATCTAAGTGAAGAACAATATTACTTTCAATCTATGTTCAAGTATATTTATCATTTCACGTACACATCTGCATTTTGCTCGAAAATTATAAAAATTTAAAAAGTGTTAATATGAACTGTTAAAAATGTGTTTAACTTGAAACTACCAGTATGATTGTGCGATAAACATGTCGAAACGTACATATTTTTTGTTAATGAGACACACTTACATACACCCCACAATATTAATATTAAAACTTTGTTCAAAACACTACCCTAAGAAAATCAAATTTAACGTGGCGTATTTCAAATAATTTTGATTTCCGAAATCGAATACTAAATCTCGTATTCCGAATCTCGAAGATTACATATAGTCTTTTGTCAGATATAAACTCATCTGTATTAAAATTTATTTTACCTCAATGTTCCTGCAAAAAGCACAGGATCTTGTGGAATTGTTGACAATCTTGACCTCAAAATTTTTAAAGCTATCTGAGAAACGTCTACGCCATCAATGTATATATGACCTTCCGACAATCGAACAAGTCTAAATAACGCAGCAGCAAGTGAAGATTTTCCTATAGGTTAAACAATACAAATGGTTATATGGTAAATTCATATGAGATTGTTCAACAACGAATAGAATGTTTTAAGTTCTTCGTGCTTTTTTTAGTCTCTCACACCTTTTTGTGACACTTGATGTATTTATTATTTACACTATGTTGCTCAATCATATTAAATAATCATTGCAGCTTGTGTTGATGTGTATACTTTAATCAGTATACCTATAATGAATAACATAATTAGATCTTTACCTGCTGCATTTATATAATGCAATGAAAATATATAATCATATCAAATATATCTACAAAATCGTTATAATTTGAATAAAATGAGAGGTAGTGTCTACGTCAATGAGACAGTGACACAACGGCTCAAAAAAGCATTAAAACATAATAGTCATTTAACACTTGTTACCTGCTCCAGTTCTACCCACAATGCCAATTTTCATTTGAGGGTGCAAATCAAATGATATGTTTCTCAGCACTGGCTTCATGTTGTCACGGTATTTCATTTCAACTTTGGAGAATATTATTCTTCCTTCGTTTGGCCAATTGTCACTTGGAGTTGTATTAAATGTCTGAGGTTCAATTTCAAGGTTCTGAAGTTAAAGGAAACAATTAGAAACATTAATTGAGCGATTTACGCCATTACATTCTATTTTGTCATTGCCTTACTTCGACAAAAAAATCAACACTAGTAGCACCTTTATATCATCGCATGGTGTGAGCACTGATTGTCGTTTTGTCAAACAACAATACATGTATCTAACCTGATAAATTGTAATTCGTTTCTTCTTTTAAATGAAGATATTCGCAATGTCGAACGTGTTAAGGACTCAGCTAAATGTTGCTCACATGTAATTTTATGCTAACCATATAGGAGCGCCTTAGTCAACCCCGGTTTTTGGAAAAGATTCGAGTTTGTTTTATAGACTATTTTCCTTTCATTTTTTTTTCTATTTTGCTATGGCAATGTACGTTGATTATCGACTTATGTGATTGAATGTCCCTTTGGTATCTTCATCCTCTATTTCATATGAAGCCCACTAAAAGGATAGCAAAATTACCAAACTACAAGGTAAATTAAAAAAGAAGAAGTCCATGCATAGAAACTGACAAATTCAAATGTTTGACCTAATCAGCTAATGGAACGAATGGAAAAAAACTGTCTTTTTCCTGACTTGGAACAGACATTTTCCGAAGAAAATGGTAGTTTAAACCTAGTTTTATAGCTAGCTAAACATATGTTAAAAGGTTTCCAAAATGATTTTATCTAAGATTATTGACTTTTCTAAAAAGTCGCTTTTGTTTCTCAAATTATACATCTTTGTTAAATAAGTGTTTGTTAATCGGCTCATAAAAATAAATTGTCGTGACGACAAAAAAAGTCCCACTTTAAGGGTCGTAACCATGGAACAGCGTAGAAAGTAGACCGTTTACCTTTTCATAATGATGCAACCGTTCAATGGACGTAAACCGAGCTTCAACTTCATTCATAACTCGTACCATAAACTGCATTATACCAACGACCTGAAAATTAAATTAACAGAAACTGAGGCTGATTTCTTTGTTGACATCTTTACATTGGATCCCATTTATTTAGCATGTTTTAAGAATTTATTACTGATATTACCAGCAACACATTTGCAAAAAGTGTCCAATGCGCTTTATCGAAACAACTTCTTTCTAAATGTTATGTAGAAGACATTATCATCAACATAAATATCTAATAAAATTGAACTGTACTGAACTGAACTGAGAACACACTAGTAGGTGACCAGGAAAGCCTCGATTGATTACTAAAATGATTTTAATCAAATAGTTCGCATTTTACCTTAATGCACATTGTCAGAGATAGACCTGCAAGAGCAGGAGCAACTGAACCTTTAGTTAAAACTAATGCTAAGGCAGTAGCGACTGTAATCATTGACGACGACAAATCCAGTCTCACTCCAACCCATCTCATGCTACTCTCAAACAAAAATGTCGCTGTGCTGGTCACATCTATCAGCTTTGTTGAACTTCAACACAAAATGATATACTAGTTATAAAATATTAATATCATGAATGATTCGTCAAATTTGATCATTTATCTGTATATATCCTATCATCTTCATTAAAAACTTAATTATAAACAAAACATGGCAAAATTGAAGTCTATTCTCATCTCCTCTCATATATTATCAGTATTTTGATTTATCCTATGAAACTGTTGTTTAAGCTGTTATTATTTTAACATGCAATTGATTTCCATTTACAATATTAAGATATACGACCTCTCATTTGCACGTACACATGTATATTATATACGCAAATGTTTTAATTGATACACCAGAATTTATAATTGAAGAACCAATTCATAATCTTTTCATGTACGATGGTCATGTATCAAAGAATTCAACTGAAATTCAATACTTTTAAAAAGAAATAGGAAAGGAAAGGATATGGGTTGATTTACACGATGCAACAAACGTATGACCAAATTTGTTTAATATAAATATATACTTTTCTATAAATTGTTTCTGTTGATTAAATGAAACTATTGTAAATAATCCTTGAGCAGTTGTGTTTACGTGTGCCAACAATGGTGATCTCGTTACGTTTTCAACCCTCTTTAACTGCCTAACTGATGTATTGGAGATATTCTTTAAAATTGCAAACAGTATTGCAACTGGAACCATCGCAATAAGAATCCAGGGTAACACTATAGCGGTGGTCAACAGTGATAATGCAATTGTGTTTAATAACTGCATTAATGAGTCGATGAGCTGTGGTAGAAAGACATCAGCTGTAACATAAAACAATACATATATTGGTTTATTAAATGTTAATAAATGCAGATAAAACATAACATTCAAATATCACTCACAAAAAAACGGTAACTGATTAATTTGTATCATTCCAATACACATGAATATATAGAAATATAGTTTTCTGGCCGGCTGTGTAATACAGGATGTCTTTTTACACTGTGTGAGATGCATCGATACGTCGCAACGTCCGGTCGGAATTGGGACGCTAAATCAGACGTCCCGAAAATTGAGAGTGCCACAATCCCTGTGTGTGGAAATATCCCACCGACAACTCTTTTAGGGTGTTCTCAGAACGCCTGTTGCATTGCCAAAAGGATTGACTCTATATCTTATTTATCAGTGGTAGTCTAGCTTAATTTCCCGTCCTTATCCCGTCGATCGATCCAATTTGTAAAACCGTTTTTTTTTGTCTTTCTGAATATGCACGACATATTTGGCACTGGAAATAATTGGATTTATTATCAATAGCTTAAAAAAATTTGTTACCACTTCCTTCTGTAAATTATTATATGTATACACTTAAGTATAAACATATCTTTAATATGATAATGTAATTTTCCAAGTTGTGGTAAAACGGACATTTTACATCTGATCCTATATACTTTAGCTTTACTATATTTGATGTAAATAGAACGAAAAATAACATTAGATTTTTTAGTAATTATAATTCTCATTAATTCAAAGGGTTCATAATTTATAGTAGGTTTACCAGTTCCTTTTTTATGAAACAAAATTAATTACAAAACAATTGTAATGTATTTATAATAATGTTTTGATGCATGGTGCATAGTCATTTTCATTGGAACTATTCGTATACACTTATATGCAGTTTAGAAACAAAATGGCTTTATCAATACCTTCGTCCATGTCTTTTGAAAATCTGTTGAGTATCCGTCCAGAAGGATTGGAATCAAAGAATTTCATTGGAGCCTTCATTACCTTCTTCAGTACAATATTATGTAGCCGAACTGATGCACGGATTGTAGTCTGCATACAAAATATAAAACAAACAATCGCATACTTTTTCTGTTGTGATTAAAATCAATATGATAAATACAATATATAAATATTTTTAATACGACACATTGCTTCTAAAAATCATAACTTAAGTGCTATTTATTATGCATGTTATATAGAGAGATTGCCAACAATTATCAAAGATACAACTTTATTCTTACAAAAAAGAATAAAGGAAACACTAAATAGTATAATAGATTACGATCGCAGTACGAAGTATGCCTAAACCTTTTCGTCAGCGCCAGTAATGTCTAAACTTGTCCACACTAGGAGATGTCACGCGAATGATTCATAATGTTTCAATAATTGCCAAGATACAGTGTTGCCCATAAAGCTTTTGTTATGATTTTTTTATAATACATGATATGATGTTAATTTATACGAATAAAAGTTGATAATGGGCATACCTCAATGCGACAGCAATTTAACGTCACTAAACAAAACAAGTCATCTACAGGTAAACAAACAGCATTCAACAGTAGACATGTGTCTATATAATATGTCAAGCTGTGTATTATAGTCTTATAGTTGACAGAGACTTTCAAATTAAAGATTTGCCATCAACAATAAATTCACAAAACATATTCATTAAGATATGACAGAAACAATTTAAAAAGGAAGAGGTTCTGACTAGACAAGTACATGGAAGTGTGGCAGGTTAGAAATACTAAATATCAAAATATTAGTGTTCATGTATAATCATATCATATTCATTTTAACATGTTTAATGTAAACTGACCGTTGCTCCTGCGAATCCTCTGAGTATCGTGAGAAGTACTATTCCTCCTAATGATGAAACATATACCAATAAATAAAAGTCGAAGCCAGAACTGTTCTCTAGAGATGGCATTGGATGCATTGTGTTGTTGCTAGAAGCCGTCGTATAATAAAGATTAGCAGCGCTCAAGTTTGATGGCGTTGAATCAGCTAAACTATAGCTATTTGTTTCATTATTTGGCTTTGCCTACAATATAAAGATATATACATCGTAATTATAGAAACTACTTTGACATTATGACATTTAGACAGATAATGGATTGAAGCAGAAGACGTTTTCTTGTGAGCTTTATGCGATTCCTTTTGTGTTTTATTTGTTTTGATTTGTATCTCTTATGTCGATTCATTCAATTTGAAAATCCGTAAACTACTGTCTTATTATATGAAACTCTTTTTTATGTTTTCAGATGAGTCACTAGTGAGCTATTTTTTTCCGAAATGGTCATTTTGATCTGAACAGCTCTGAAAAGACTACATAATATTTCATTACGTCATTTCCAGACTTTTACATGTATTAAATTCTGTACAGCTCAGACAATTCACTTGCAGTCAATTAAGATCTGTTCAGGCTATCTTCAGACTGTTCAGTATTAGTAGACATCAATAACGTACTGAATTTTCTGATGAGCTACTGAAAAGTACTTAATTGTTCTGAATTTACCTCAGTGGATAGGTATGAAAATTGACTGAAATACGGAATAAGACTTAATAATTTACTGTTCAGACTTTTCAGGTGTCATTTACTAGCTCTTCATATTTTTAATTAGCTTTGGATTTTCAAATATTTTGGCCTCGAGCATCACTGAAGAGACATTGATTGTCGAAATGCGCATCTGGTGCAGAAAAATTGGTACCGTTTATGTTATTACTAGTGAGTGTTATTGAGTTGTTTGGGTTTGGTTTTGTTCTTTTTGTTCTTTTCTCTCTCTCTATTCAACGTACAGGTTTTTACGCTAAACTTTGATATTCGTCTCTAAGTCAGATGTTCAATTTAAAAATTAATAATTGAGACTGTAATATGAAAGCACAATACAGCTAGAGTAGTTTTGTTAATCAGAAATAATGCAATACAGAATATAAAATATTTTATAAGGTTCTACTTTTGTTTAAATAATAATTATAGAGGAACATTGAAAATACCGTATTTAATGTGTTAATCCAAATTCCAAGCCACCAATCACTGAATACAACAGAACCCATGGTAAGAGTATACGACAGCATCACCAAGAAGCAGACCATAAAACCACCTGCAGCATTGATGTAGGATTTGTATGTACCAAATCTTACTTTACCAACCACCATTTCTTCACGTTCTGTTAATTTACCTGAAAACATTATAAAATTTACTGGATTAATGAGTGATGAATTGGTGGATTGATGGTAACTGCAATACTCAAAGTTAATGTGACGTCTTAATGTTTATAATACCAATTAATTGTTTTGACTGGTATATGAATATATCGATAGACACATACGTTAATGAGATATGCAGAAGATTACTGAGGGAAAAATACTTGAATATGGAATATAAGATCAAGAATATCCATCGGACTTTACAAACCACAACAATTAAGTAAATAAAGACGGACATTCAGAAGAATCAAGAGGTCGACATACATGAAACAAGCAACAACATCATTGTTTGGTAGTGCTATAGTCGTACATTTCAAATATTAAAATGAGATTTAAAGTGAAACGAGTGAAATAAGTTCTAGTAAATTTAATTACAGTACTACTGCATGTATGTTTGATTAGAATCAATAACTCTGATACGCTGACAACAATCGTAAGGGTCTCTTATATCATATTTTATATCCGTATAAAATACAACAGCTATGACTGCACGTGCTATCCGTGACAATGTTTAAATAATGCATTGAAAAACAAACAAAAGCTTGATTTAACTCTTAATTTCATGATTGTAGCATAAAATGTTACTTTAAGAATTTAATGGTACTTTTCATAATTTTATGGGGATGTAAAAGCGTGGATCGTGCGCACATTTTTAATATGAAGCGCTTTTTCATACATAAGTGCGTCTGTCAACGCTTTTACACCCCAAAAAAAAATATAAAAAGAGCCATTCAATTTTTGAGTAATACATTCAGTCTGTTGTTGGTATGACAATCTTACATTGATTGCTATTTTTAAAGTTTGAATTCAAATAAGGTATTACGAACAGTGAAACCAGGTCACAGAAATTTTAGACTATTATGTAAAAGTCATTTGTTATACAATGTGCATCCCCGGAAGCACCTGCACAATAATGATCAACTTAACTAATAACAGCTACCAAAATACTCAAACTATGTCGATAGTTGTGTTCATTATTTAGGCCAACGACTTACCTTTTTCTTTTTGCTGCGTTACATTGTTTGCAGAGCTGTTTGTTGTCACACTGTTAGCGGAGCTATTTTTCGGAAGATCTTTCTTTTCCGACTGGACACCATTTTTAGCTATTTTAGAATTACTGGTATCCTCTTTGTTAGACTTTGATGGTATTGGTACTTAAAATTTAATTCAGATAACGTTTTATGTGTATCAACTTTCAGAAACTTTCATGGATATTACGTATGGTATATGCATATGTATATTAATGTACAGAGTAAATGAAAATAAAACTTTATTAATGATCTAAACATCTTGGTGCAAAATTAAGACACTACTGAATCTTCTGCCAAAATCTTGCACTCCATAATCTACAGATAAGGCCTAGGTGACATAATTATCATTATTTTCAATCGTTAAACTTAAAAAAAAAATAATTAAAAGTGTTTTAAAATTGCAGACATTGGCATTAATTTTCGACCAAGAATGTATGACGTGACTCAAATATCTACGTTAAAGTAATTACTCGTTGCATCAATATAAAGTTAAACTTTCAAAATGGTAGAAATGTAATGCCCACTATTATTTGAGCCATTTAGCTTAAAGTTTTAAGATATGAGATTCAAAATCGTTTCCCCTTCCCCTTTTGTTCTTTTTTTCTGCTACTCCGAAGGTACTGTCCCCAAAAATAAAACATCAAAATTAATATTCTTAAGCATTATGCATGTTATTTTAGCGACAATATGTTTACGTTTTATGTACCAATTTTCAGCAAACAGAATTAACCACCAACTATAGTGTTGCGTATGTAATTATGCAATCATCATAATTATTTCCTACACTCTTTTTATATTAATATTATACAACATCTATAATATGAAAATTTCTCTTTCAGAAACTCATCTAATCTTAAGAAGATATATCAGCAATACTCAGTATAAGAAAGGATTGATAAAAGCGTATTACTTTTACTTATAGAATAACTAATCGAAGAATTCAAATAGAGAAAAATATTCAACGAGTGACCGAACAACACATTAATTCACGAATGCGCGTAGCGCATGAGTTAATTATCAGTGTTGTTCGGTCACGAGTTGAATTTTTTTCGATATTTGAATTCTTTGATTAGTTATTCTTTTTATTACATTGGCAAATGGCTTTTTTTATGAAATTAAAGTAGAAAATGTAAGGAACTATATCTTTTTCTACGCATTCACAATTTGTTTTGATCCGACGTTATCGACGTCTTGACAACGCCTATTGTTGTATGACGTCAGATGAGTGAAATAACCACGTTTATTTCACATGTGAAATTATTGGTTTTTATTACAATGGGAAATCAATGTAATTCATTGCAACAAATGTAATAAAAAAGTTTAACTTTACTCCACAATATGACCAGTAGGTTGACGCTATTCTAAATCTAAAAAAGCTTTCGCATGATCAGATGACAGAAATATTTCGTAAATTTATACAAAAGTAAGTTTCTGACTGTTTTCTTACGTTTTAGAACAACAACTGTAACGAAAGTTCTTACATGAGCAACACGATTGGTGCCACATGTGGAGCAGGATCTGCTTACCCTTCCAGAGCACTTGAAATCAACCCCGGTTTTTTTTGTGGGGTTCGTATTGCTCAGTTTTTAGTTTTCTATGTTGTGTTATGTGTATTGTAGTTTGTCTTTTCGTAGATTTTCGTTTTTTACCATGCAATTGTTTATTTGTTTTTGACTAATGAGTTTGAATATCCCTTTGGTATCTGTCGCATCTCTTTCTTAATTGAAAGTACGTAACAACAGTTAAATGAGTACTTTAAAAAGGTTTCCTATGTGCGTGATCAGTTTATACATACATTGCTTTTCCATCGAAGTATTTGTATGGTAGTGAAATTTATCCATCATCTCTTTGTAGTATCCATTTTGTAACAGCAATTCATCATGATATCCCCTTTCCACAATGCCACCATCTTCGAATGCTACTATTTCATCACAATGTTTTAGATACTAAAAGAAATGTTTTGATTGTAAACCTTTTTTCTTTTACATGACAAGGCTTACCGGGCTTACAACAGTTTGAAAAGCAAATGATGACAGGCGAAAACATGTTATATCTTTAAGAGACACATGTGCACTTCTTTATGCTGGAAGTTGTTTAAAAAGCGTAAGATACCTCCTTTCGTGTGCTCTCTTTTCTTAAATAAACTTGACCAAGTTTACTCAAACGCAAAGGTTGGGAACCATAAGCATTATATGCTTGAGAGCATAAAAACTAAAAGTAAAAAGCTTGAACAGAACAATCAAAATAAAATTGGGCTGGTTTGAAGAAATTGCAACTTTGCATTTACAATGTAAGTACAATTCCATAGTCAAATATAAATCAATTGTTTTAAAAACAAATGTTAACGGTCTTTCGCCTCCGAAACATGATTGATTGATTGATTGATTGATTGATTGATTGATTGATTGATTGATTGATTGATTGATTGATTGATTGATTGATTGATTGGTTGGTTGGTTGGTTGGTTGGTTGGTTAGTTGACTGATTGAATAATTAAACACATGGGATAGGGTCTCTTGGAACAAGCGAAAAAGAAACAAATGAGATCTTGGATCCCGTATCAAACACATGGGACCGAAACATGCATGCAAGATTGATTGGTTGGTTGGTTGGTTGGTTGATTGATTGATTGATTGATTGATTGATTGATTGATTGATTGAAAGTTTGCATGGCACTCTCTCTATAAGAGGCATCGGACTTAACGTCCGTATTCTAACCGAACGTGGCTGCGTAAGTTTCTATCCCGCACAGCTAAACGGACGATTCAATAAAAAAAAAATCGTTATATCTTCCTTATTTGAATTTTCTCTATTTTCTACGGAAAATCGGACTTCATGTTTTATCTATTTGTTGTGTGTGCATTTGGTTTGAACTTGTAGGAAAACTGAGTAACATTTTGTCTTGGAAGTTTCACTTGCTATATTTGGATATGGAATGTTTATTCTAAATTTAGGTCCGCGCGCGTGGTGGTGTTTGTGAAATCACGTGACGCTCGAATATATATGTCTAGTTTTAGAATATTAATACCTTTTCAGGGGAGACCGTTGAACAGACTACATGTGTATTGATAAGAATAACACGATAACTATTGATTTTATTTTTTACAGGTAATTGATGTCTGATCATGCATGCTTTTTTCGTACACCAGTTTACGGGAGCACAGATTTGTGTTTTAAAGCATGTTTAGAATGATTGTAGAATTTCGCTAACATTTACGAACTTGGAATCGATTTCTATGTCATTGACTTTAATTTCTTAATCCAAGTCAGGTTGTCAAGCGGACCGCACGTGTATTTATAGTGCTAACGGGATTATGTTTTCTTGATTCATTTCACAGGTAAACTATTGTCTAATCGCTGATCACGAGTCTTCATTCATTGCATGCACACAAAAATAATGCTGTTGTTATAATAATTAAACAAAAGGTTTATCGATTAATTTCAGAAAATACACGAATTGGAGTAGATTTTTGCAGGGATGGATTTCTATTTCAGAAGTTTGTACATAAGAAGGATTAGTATTTTTACAGTAGAATGTACGGGACTGAAGGCGATTTTCTTTTCATAGAAATGGGATAACTAAAAAATAAAAATCAGTTGAAAAAAGGGGGGAGTGTAGTGGTAGACTTTAGTTGATAATTGAGATAAGATACATTTACAACATGATAGCTGCAAAGTTTGCAGTTTTAATTAGTAATTTGCTGATTTGCCCATTTCAGGGGCATTGATCCTCCAATAAAATGACGCGTACCATTTTGACAAAAAAATTTCCAGTAACGACATGTTGTAACAAACTTTTGTTTAAATTGTTTTGTCGATATCTATAACTCTTTCTGGGAAGAACCGACATGAACTTAATGTAAAAGATAAGAACATGACCTTGACCTTTGACTTTGACCTAATTTTATTTATTTCTTTTGGACCAAGGACCACAAATCAAAAGACCCTAGGTCTCTATCACTTATGGTTTACCAGTTACAATTATATTTCACTTATTTTAAATACAAGAGGGGAAATAACTCTCATTTTATAGCTTCGATCAAAATAAAACGTAATATTCTGAGGATATAATGATCAATTTGGAAAAATAGATTTGTCGTTTTCTTTTACGGTTGCGAAGGAGTAGTCATAACAAGAAAAACAGTTTTCGGGGAGATAACTCTTACAAAGAAAAGTGTTCGGTTAAGCAGGGTCAGTTTCAAAAGCGTATAGACTGTATGATATCATATACATAAAAAACTAAGCGACATCTTTTGAAAGAAAAATACAGCACAAGAAAAAATCAGGCAGAAGAAAAAAAAATAATCAGAACAAAAGCAAAAGGTCTTTCCACGGAAAAATGGAAAGACCTAATTAACAGAAAAGTTATTTACAGGCAGCGAAAAGCATTTATTTATTTTAATCATACCAGTAAACACTGTAAACGGGGGAGCGGTAATTTAAAAAGATACAACAAAATTATCATACCATTCTTCAAAATATTGTGAATGTTTTATTTTGTATTTATTTGTTTTGGATTCTCATATTTTCAAATATACATCGTTTTGCTTTATTTCATTTAATTTCTTTTTTATCTTCTCTTTATACATGTTATACTGTGTTGTCATGATTTCGTCAAATGTTGTATTTTTATAGCTTATAAAATAATAAGCGATAAAACTATTTGAACACATTTCTATGTGTACCTGTAGTTGGTGAGTTGCTAGGATGACTGTTTTCCCAGCAAGCTTCTTTTTGATACAAGTATGGAAAAGATGCCTTCCAACATGGACGTCAACAGCTGATAAAGGGTCGTCAAGGAGGTATATATCACTGTCACTATAAACTGCTCTAGCCAAGCTGACACGCTGCTTTTGTCCTCCACTTAGATTTGTTCCTCTGTCACCTATCTTTAAATAAATTTAATAAAGACTGTTAAAATATACCTCTTTATATAGAGATCATTTTACTGTTTACCTTTTTATTAAACTGACAGCCTATATAATCCAGTTTAAATTTAAATAAACATACATTCCTAAAGACACTACTAGATTTATGTAAATCTACAAATTTATGGTGACACTGCCGATTAATGTCATCAGAGACTTTTACCAACAGTATCAAACAAGTGAAACTGCGAGCTACTGCACAATGATGATACCCCCGCCCAAATATGGATAATCTTAATAGTGTAAAAATATGTAAGTATTCCGTTAACAGGAAGTTGTTGAGTGATGATTCTGAAAACGTATCACACGGTATAGCTGACTTATATAAACCCTGAAACCAAATTTCAGAAATCCTTATGATGTAGTTCCTGAGAAAAATGCGACAAAAGATATTCATGGGACGGATGGACGGACTGACGGACGGACAGACAGAGGTAAAACAGTATACTCCCACTTTTTTAAAGCGGGGGTATACCAGAGGGGCGAAAGATACCAGAGGGACATTCAAACTCATAAATCAAAAATAAACTGACAACGCCATGGCTAAAAAAGAAAAAGACAAACAGACAAACAAAAGTACACAAAACCCAACATAGAAAACTAAAGACTAAGCAACACGAACCCCAGCAAAAACTGGGGTGATCTCAGATGTTCCTAAAGAGTAAGGAGATCCTGCTCCACATGTGGCACCCGTCGTGTTGCTCATGTTAGTACAAACCATGAAAATAGTCTTAATTCGGTAGGTTACATTCGTGTAAAGGGAACGGGATTATAGTTACGACATTCGGAACATATCCGCTATCATCTGTGAAATTGATATTCCATAACGGTCAACCAATTGTGATGGCGTCCGTAAAATTTACGAACGGATGATTTCAACTTCACCATTTGGAACTCTTGGTTTAATAGCTTCCTAGTGAGCAGCAACCCCTCTATCAAGGAAATCATGATAGGAAATACAAGCCCGGGAATATCGTATCAATTGGGAGATATATATACCCCGTGCATGCCTGGTCATTTATATTAATATTCACTGTTTCATTATTTCCAATGTTTTCAGATTTAGCATAACCACATTAATTTCGCTGAACGTGTATACATTATTGTTTATATGCCAGCTGAAGCCCTCCTCCGGGTGCGGGATTTTCTCGCTTCGTTGAATACCCATTGGTAGACTTGGGCTGATGTCTGCTCTTTGGTCGGGTTGTGGTCTCTTTGACACATTTCCCGTTTCCATTCTCTATTCTTATGTGATAGATTTTACTTCCAATGAACCGTTGGTACGAGGCCAAAATATAAAACAATAAAAAAACATACCTCTGTTTCATCTCCATCATCAAGAATAGCGAAGTCAGGCTCAAGTCCACAGGCATATATAACATTTCGATACCTGTCAAAAATATTTTGCAAATGTCAAAAACACAGTTTGTAAATGTGAAAAATGCACACTGACGAATTGTCTCTATAGTCATAATATAGAATAATATATGTATACTGGTAGAATGGCGTGTGTTAATTCTTTAAATAGTTAAAACATATGAAGGGACATTCTGGACTGTATGTAGACAGTCAAGTATTTGAATACTTGCTTTGATAAGGCCAACAAATGTGCTGAAAATAATTGTCCTTCTCCAATTTATATGGGTATACTGAATATGATTGATTGATGGATTGAGTTGTGCTTAATGCCACTTTTAGCACTATTGGCTGTTTCGTGGTGGTCAGTTTTTATTGGTGCAGGAAGCTACATTTCCCAGAGAGAACCTACCACCTTCGGCAGGTAAACTGACAATCCTAGTCATTTAAGATTGCAGTCAAACATGAAAAGAACGACTGTCCTACTTTGTTGTTTTTGTAATTGCATCTATAAGGTCTTAAACATAGTAACAGAATACAAACAACAAATTTTATAATGTCATACCTTTCTGGATCATAAGATTTTCCGAATAAAATATTCTCTCGTACAGTGTCGTTAAATATCCAAGCTTGTTGGGCAGCGTATGCAATACTACCATTCACAGCCGCATGTCCAGAAATAAAGGGCATCTAAATGAAATATACATGTGTGTATCTTCAAAACAGATAGAATTCTCAAAACATAGTACATTATATTCTAACATATCTTGTTGAATCTTAAAAGATATGGTTTGGTTATTACAGCAGTTAAGAGTTTACGTTTTCGTACATTTTTTTCTCAAAAAATTCGACATAAATCATTAGAGTCATAAATATTAGTGTTTATGGGTAATTGTAACATCATCATGATCAAATAAATCAGGTTTCTTACTTTAGAACAAACCTCAATAGTTTTGACATTGGTTTGAAAATGCTTTGCAATTAGTATGAATGTCAAAATCCGACTTTGCCCACTAATATAAATTTACAATTTTCGTTTAAAACATTTACCCTTGCCAATATAGCTGCCATTAATGATGACTTCCCTGATCCAACAGGGCCACATATACCAATCAGTTTTCCCTGCAATAAAAATATTTACAGTACGTTAACGAATTAATGGAAGTTCATTTAATAAACGTCATGATAAACAAAAGAAGAATGTGTCTGAGGACACGAATGCCCCCGTTCAAGCTTTTGCAAAAAGGGGCATAACTGGTAAATGACTTACAACTCAAATTCAAACTATGTCTGCATGTTATGATTCTTAGCATTGTGTATGAGTTTCAAAAAATTTGGATAAGAAAAACTTAAGTTAGAGTGCGGAAACGAAAACATTTGCAATTTTCTAAGTTAGAAAGGGACACAACTCTAGAACGGTAAGTGACTCACTGCTCAAGTTCGAACTCTATCTGCTAGCTATGGTTCGTAACATTTTGTATGAGTTTCATAAAAGTTGCATGAGGCAAATTTAAGTTAGAGTGCGTAAACAATAATGGGACGGACGGAAGGACGGACGGAGGGACGGTCAGGGGTTGCACTTAATGCCCCCGTTGCCTACGTCTGGGGCAAACAAATATATCTTTTCAAATAGGTTCAATATAATCTAACAGGTCTATATATAACGTATTGACTGAGTGAAAGTCTTTAATTTATATATTACAAATGTAAATAGTGTAAGTTTGAAAAGGATTTTGACTCGATGTTACTATTTTTGGAAATTATTCTGACTCGATGTTACTTTTTTTTAACATGGAGTCAATATCATTTTTAGAAATAAGAACGTCGAGTCAATATGTCAAAATAGTGAAAAAATATAAAATATATATTGGAAAACACGTGACCAAAAAAAACAATGAGAAACAAGAAAAATCAAACCATATGTAATATAATACAATTACAGCTTTTGTATGAGTTCGATACAAGGATATATCGACCTTAAATAAGTATATTGACTGAAGACGAAGTCCGAGGTCGATGTATTTCTTTATGTAGATATATCCTTGTATCGACTTCATACAAAGGCTACAATTGTTGTATTGTAATGGTCAATGAGCCAGAAGAAGAGCAGCAATTCATTTGATTGGTTGTTATGGTTGTGTCAGATATTTTAAAAATAACTGTGCAATATATCACATTTTTTGCAAAGGGTATTCCATGTATCGGAAGACGTGTTTCTATTTTTAAGTATATGGACGCTATGTTTTTATATATGTATATATGTATATATTGACGGTCAATATTTAAAATCCTGCAAAATACAAATGAATGTAAAATACACAGAAAGAACATTGAAGTTTAATTCCATGATACACTATTCAAATATGTAATATATAAATTAAGGACTTTCACTCAGTCAATACGTTATATATGAATCTGTTAAATTATATTGATACTCGGAATTCGTCCTCTGTCAAATCAATCCGAATAGGTTCATATATAACTTATTGACCTCGTCAAAAGTCCATCATTGATAAATATTGTATTCTTAGCCAGGTAGGAGACTGGAGAAAAAGTTTAAGCCCCTGCTTCGGAGAGCCGCATCGGCCTATGAAATTTTCTTAGCCAGGTAGGAGGCTGGAGAAAAAGTTTAAGCCCCTGCTTCGGAGAGCCACATCGGCCTATGAAGATTAGAGTAGATTTTTATATTGCACGAACTCGCAAGAGCATTGTATATTCTAAGAGGGATATCATTCACCAATGGTCATGCAATAACCTTTTTATAGTATGGACAAGATTACAAACTGTTTAAATGAAAATATTGTTATATCACATTTTAAATATATCGTGCGGCCGAAGCGCTTTCTGGATATACCTTCATCAGGAACGCTCTAACCTACACATTCAAAAGTCATGGATGTATACGTCGAAACGTTAGAAGCTATATGACTAAAAGGTACCTAAAATGAATAGCCAAATTCCTTTAATGTCAACTTTGCCAGAGGGAGTTGGAGCCTTAGTTCCCTCAAACATAATTTTGTCCTTGAAGTTTTATTTGCACAAGTTAAATATGATATATAATTGCACGCTAACTTTTTGTTACATTCTGTATGAAATATGTTGATACTAAACCATAACTTCATGGTTCTATTTTACAAGGTAAAAGTAATTAAAAGAAAATAATATATTACCTTTTGAACTGTAAAATTCATTTTCTCGATGTGGAATGATCCTGGTGATGCTGTAAAAATCAAAACATAGTCTTAAAAATTGTGAATGCATTAAATATCGGAGTTCCATAGTAACAAATGTATTATTTGTAATATTTATTTCTGCCCCACGAATAGATTACATTAGCTGTATTAGGCTACACCCTTTGGAATGTTTGGTCAGCAATGCTCTTTAACTTCGTATTTGGATGGTCTTGTGTGGACGAGACGCACGTCTGGCGTATTGAATTTTAAGCCTAGTACCTTTTGTTAGCTATTATTCGTGTGTTTCTTTGTCCTATATGTTCTCCCATTTATTTGTATTGTGGTCCTGTCATGTGATGTTGTCGTTTTGGTGTTGTGTTTGACGTTGCCATTAAAGCGGGAGGTTTGGCATGCCACAAAACCAGGTTCAACCCACCATTTTTTTTCTTAAAATGTCGTGTACCAAGTCAGTAAAATGGCCATTGTTATATTATAGTTCGTTTCTGTGTGTGTTACATTTTAATGTTGTGTTTTTGTTGTATCGTTCTCCTCTTATATTTGATGCGTTTCCCTCAGTTTTAGTTTGTTACCCGGATTTGTTTTTATCTCTATCGATTTATGAGTTTCGAACAGCGATATACTACTGTTGCCTTTATTTGACTTGGCCTGTTGAACTTTTTTTATTCGAGCGTCACTGATGAGTCTTTTGAGGACTAAACGTGCGTCTTGCGTACAAGAATATTAAATCTGGTATCTCTGATGATTTTATGTACCTCAACAAAAGGAGATAAGTTGAATATCTGATTTTACTTTTGATTTATTTAAATATCTCTTTTTAGAAATATTATAAGATTGACAGCTTACATAAAGTGAAAAGAAAGATAAAGCTGTACCTTTTCGATCTTTTGCTTTATTTTTTGCCTCCATTGCAGCTTTTGCTTTTGCTCCCATTTCGGAAATACTTGCATCTTCCCACATGAAGAACGCATTGTCCAATTCTACTGCGTTATCTTTGTTCACACATTTGTCACTGTGTGGCGCAAATTCCTCTTGCACAAGAAGTCGCTAAATAAAAAAAATTATAACATTTTTGTACATTTTTGTTCATTGTGTAGTTTAATGAAAACGTATTCTTGGAAAAATGGGCCAAATACTCAATGGCCGGCTTGCAATACTTACGGTTAGAAATTTAAAGGTCATCTTAATGGTAATATCGCCATAGTACTGATTGATTTGTTTTGGGTGCATCTTTATAAATGCCAAGGAAGAATCGAAATATCTACATGTATAACTAAATCAGTTTTGCAAAAGATATGCATTGTTTTCTCCTCCCATTAAACTGGGTACAAAGAAAAATAAATGAATGCCTTATATTGATTGACAAAGTCTCATTCTCTAGGGGGAAAATCATTCAAACTGATACTCTAAATTAAATAGGTACCTTCCACCAATAAACTGCTGAAAATGATCTCCGTTTCACTATATTGTTACTCTGTACTAATTACTTAAATTAATAAAAATCCAAGTGCCCATCTTTGATGTACATAGAAAACAAGTAAAATAACATATATAAATACCGAACTTCAAGGAAAATTCAAAACGGAAAGTCCTTCATCAAATGGCAAAATCAAAAGCTCAAACACATCAAACGAATGGAAAATAACTGTCATATTCCTGACTTGGTACAGGCATTTCCTTATGTAGACAATGGTGGATTAAACCTGGTTTTATAGCTAGCTAAACATCTCACTTGTATGACAGTCGCATAGAATTCCATTTTATTGGCAACAATGTTTGAGTAGAAAAACAGACATAATAGGTAAAAATGTCAACAACTGGGGTACAGCAGTAAAGATTGTGCTATAACTTAATCAATATAAAAACAAACAACTATGTCAACGAAGAAAAACAAAATGGCAAATCGACACTCTATAGACAAAGCACATGAGCAAAAATGAAAGACAAGAATACAAAAAGTTATCAAAGCACAATAATATAATGGCGGGATGTATAAATACCGTTCCACGCCAAAAAGATATTACCAAAAATGGAATAAACAGTAATGTTTGAAAATATACAAAGACGAATACCAAGAATCTATACCTCAAGACCATAATGTATTATTTGTGAAGTTTATCTACAAGGTCTTCGTATCTTCTGATTAACTTTTTTTCGAAAAAGGACGAAACATTCTTTGACATAATCCTGGTTCATCAACTTTCTGCTCAGATACTGGATACGTTTAATAAAGTCTGAGTAACAGCTGAAAGCTCTTACAAGCATTCCATTTTGAATGCTCTGAGTTTAAAAAGTAGCATTTTTTTCACAAATTGGATACTCTTTATATACATCGAAGAACACACCCTTAACGTATATATAACCATTTCAGAAAGTTTTGATTTTTTTTTTTTTTTTCAAAAACCAGGAAAGTTACTCAAAGCAGGTACTTTGCTTTCAAAGCTCGTCCTTTCTTCCGCCCGACATCCTTCATGCAAATATCATAAGCCGGCATTGCACTATATGCAACCCGCAGTTAAAATATTTTACCTCACAGTTTTAACGGACAAGAACTAGAGGTTTATATATTATCTTCTATGTAAATGAAATGACTTATGACATTGTATGATTCGTTTGATTAACACTTTCTCCTTTTTTGGTTAATTCCTAAATTTGATGTGTCACAAACGTGCTAAAAGTATGTTAAATTAGAAATTTAAAGTTATTACGTTCTTCGCACGTCTCAAATGAATCATAAGTATCAGAATAAGCACAATTAATAAAACCGATTACTCACAAGGATAGGTTTAATCAATTAGGCAAGGTTGGGAAATTGTGTCATGCATCAGATATAGTAATTTTTGTGACCTTTTTAAGAATGGTAGCTTGGGAGGTTTGTACATCTGGTTCTGTAAGCATGATTAAGATGAGAGATGTTATAGTCTTTATTTGCATTATCAGGAAGGCATTAAATTTGTATATAGCCCTTTACCTTTAATCTGTCAAAACTAACACGAACTTCGCCAAGAATTCTAGTTGCATACGGAATTAAAGCAACAATAATTCTTAGAAAGTTCAATGTACCGACAACAGCAAATGCCTGCAAAAGTAAATGACCAAGGAAATTATATAAATGCTATGTAGTTTTCATTTTAAAGAGTAAATGAGAAGATGTTTTTTTCTAATAATTATGCTTGACTATAAGCAGCATAAGTTTCCCCAAAATTAAAATAATTGCAACACAAAGTGAAAGTAATAAGATTTGAGGGTTGAAATAAGAAATGTTGTCATAAAGCAGATATTCAAAAATCAATACATATAACGAATAAACACCATTGAGAAGGCACTGTCCTGGTAGTTCGACTGAATATAAATCACTTTTGTTTTAGCTACAATTACCATGTTCTTTGAACTACTAGAATACAGGTGCATTCATTTTAACAATAGAAAAAGATCTGTGATATATATTAAGATTCAACAACCCAACAACACAGAAATCAAAAGACATGTATATATGTTAGTAATACGTTCCGAAATTATCTTAAAATTATACCTTTGTCGTAAGCTTTTTAAATATATTTGTTGAATTTGGTGAGTTTAATTCTAAAACTTAGTGAAGTCTATATACACTTCGTGACTTTGTCTGTTATAAAGTGTGTAACAACTGGCATCAAGTAAGGTATACAGAGTTAACTTACAGTAGAAGCAGATATGTCATTTCCAAAAGCTCTAAACGTGGATATCGTTGCCACTGATGCTAGTGTTGGAGTAACAGGGATAACGGCTGCACTTATTGAATTCATAATGGCAGCAAACAGTAAGTATTTCTTTTCTTGTTTTCTTATTTCTGTAAAAAAAATTGCAGATTTTTAAAACTCATTAGTTTTACAATTCAATGAATATATTGCATGATAAAAGACTTTTACTAATCTCTGTAGTCATGTTAAAGTCGCACAATGCCATTTTTGTCATTAGAGTTGAAGTAAAAATGTATGGATGTCAGCAAGTCACACTCCTTGGTTACGACATGTCAACTATGGATTGACGGACGATGATAACAGTTTTTGATAAAAAAAAATGCTAATGTTTGGATTTTTAAAGAAAATGTTCAGCTGTCTTAGGTTAGATTATTGAAAGTAAAGTTTGTTTAAATCCATTTTTCGGTGGTGTGAGGTAAGGTTATTGATAGTAAAGACAACATTACCAGATATTGAGTGTTCAAATGGTTCTTCCCATGCATACATCTTCAACAACTTCATACTATTGAGAACCTCTGTCATTTTTCTAACCTAAAAATGATCGAGACGATAAAAGAATTTAAATTATTATCAATTATATCTCTTTTTTTCGGTTTGTTAAAAAACAAGAAACTTGTCAATATATTGGCGGCTTAATAATTGAAGGTATATTTTTATATAATACATACACGTTTGTCCGTCTGCTGAAGCGTTTTTATACGCATTATTTCGACGCCTTTTGTCAACACTCCCTTAAAAAGAAAAAATAATACATATTCATAAAAAAATATTGAAGCCAATGAAGCGCAACAAAAAAAATGTTGAGACATATGGAGGTCATAATACGGTCTTATTCACATTTTAACTATCTTAAATATAAAAGTACGTAAATATTTTCTACCGAAATATACTAATAATGTCAGTTTTTATACTGATTCATTAAATAGAATAAATAAAATGTTAAAGTTTCTTCTACAATTAAGATACAAACGTCGTTTGTCAAGCTATCTTATCCAATTCATTCTTATTTTGAAATAACCTCATATTGAATACTCTGAATAAAAATCCTGCAATCGCTTTTTTTTTTATATAATAGCAAATTTAAGAATACCTGCAGAAATGAGTAATGGATTGGTATAAATCAATCACATATGTTGCCTAAAGATATATGTTACAGTGCGTTGTCGTCAATGAAAATAAAACTTTACAATGTTTGTGCGTTTGAAACGCTTTTCTGTATTCAACGCTCCTAACCATTTGAAAGCCAGGAATTTATAAATACGTAGAAACTTAAACGTTAGAAGTTAAAGGAATCTATAAAAAATAGCCAAATTCATGTAAGGTCAACTTCAAACAATAATTTTTAAAATATTGTATTAAATACGTCTTCGATGAGTTTAAAGTATGATTTATCTAGATTCTTTTTAAAATGAAATATTTAAAAAGGAAATTATGTCTTATTGTTTTCAATCTTGATATATTATGTTCAAATTTTCTATCAATTAAATTGATTCGTTTCGTCAGAAGTTATTAAGTCTAAACTGGTGTAGTTTTAGTGCATGTTAATCTCAAAAACTTTGAGAGCAGACTGTGTACCTGGAGTAAATAGCACAACACAAATATTCCCATTGCAATGAAACACCAAGGTCCTAGCAGGTAATATGTATATCCAGCACCGATAATCATGTATATTGGTAGAGCAATAATGTATACAAAAGTCACACAGTTCACGTACACACGGATAGCATCACCTCCAAATATGTTGATAAGCTAAAATGCAAATACACAATTAAGATAAAATTGAGAATGGAAATGGGGAATGTGTCAAAGAGACAACAACCCGACCATAGAACAGACAACAGCAGAAGGTCACCACCAGGTCCTCAATGCAGCGAGAAATTCCCGCACCCGGAGGCGTCCTTCAGCTGGCCCCTAAACAAATATATATACAAGTTCAGTGATAATGAACGCCATACTAAACTCCAAATTGTACACAAGAAACTAAAATTAAAAATAATACAAGACTAACAAAGGCTAGAGGCTCCTTACTTGGGACAGGCGCAAAAATGCGGCGGGGTTAAACATGTTTATGAGATCTCAACCCTCCCCCTATACCTCTAGCCAATGTAGAAAAGTAAACGCATAACAATACGCACATTAAAATTCAGTTCAAGAGAAGTCCGAGTCTGATGTCAGAAGATGTAACCAAAGAAAATAAACAAAATGACAATAATACATAAATAACAACAGTCTACTAGCAGTTAACTGACATGCCAGCTCCAGACTTCAATTAAACTGATTGAAAGATTATGTCTTCATCATATGAATATCAGGCACAATCCTTCCCGTTAGGGGTTTAGTATCATACCATCATAACATATATGAGAAGAACATATTCATAAATTGTAAATATTTCTAACCCCCTGCTAAGGCAACTGATTTTGTTGGTTAATAATATACAAGTAATGCAACAGTCGAATAGGCCGTTTGCATTTACTTTTTTAAATAACAATCTAATGAAATGTAATAATCTGTGATAAAAAAAAATATTGGTTTAATATTTATGTATTTGTTTAAAGTTACATTTTATATTTTCACGAAACCGCTTAGACTTTTACAGTTAACTATTTTATTGATTTATTTAATTAAAAGAAGGCTTTTTTTTCTTTGCTATGCAATTGTATCTAATGGCTGAAGATACTCTCGAACGGTAGTGATGGACGCAAGAAAATTGTTCTAAACAAGGAATATAGGTGAATGTATATTTTGACGTTTTACATTTTCATTTAGCTTTGAGAGTGGGTGTAAAATCGTCCCCTCCAAGACAACTACAATGCCCCTGCCCCTTCGATCCGCTACATTTGGTTTAATTCATATCAATCAACGACTTAGCATGACCATTCGCTTCTAAATATTTAGATATATTCATACATTTCTGACAAATCTTCTAAATAAAGAGGACAGTAGTTTACCAATGTTCAAATCTCGTGAATCGAGTAAGAATAGACATATCAAGGTAAAAAAGAAAAACTGAGAGTTTATCTAAAACTGTATTGTCAGTGTATATATTTAGGTAACATTGTGTCCTAAAAGTTATAAATATTACCTCGGCTAAACTCTTTCCTTTTATTTTTTGAAGTCTGAGGAGTTTTCGGTATGCCAATCCAAGAAATCCAGCCCTGAACCTTATACCTGTCAATATGATACAATGCCGTGTAGCTGAAGCCATTACTTAATATGTGATTTTCGCTGACGAACAAATGGGATTAATATTGTTTGGTGAAAGGGTGGATGTCAGCTAGATGAAAATCATTATTATATCCACGGTACTCTTATAAATCATCATATTAAAAACAATTACGACTCTTTTCTGTTGGTTTGTTTATATCGACTGTTTCTTGAACACTTTTAACAAAGCTCTTAATGCGTCGACGCCTTACAAATAGCTTTAAGTATCAATTGGTGCAATACGCTTTGATATTCAGCAATTACTATTTCATATTTCCTTTCAACAGATTACCTAAAACCTGATGAAGCCTTACTACAAATACTGACATACGCTGGCCGATGACATTGTTGTATACTTAATACAACATATAAAAAATTCACGAACGCCATTTAAATACTGATATTGGTAGGAAGACTTTATAAATAAAATGAGGAAGCATAAGACGGATACACGAATGTTGTATAATATGAAGTAGAGATATCAAGAAGAAATACAGCAGGCAATTTTCTTATGATAAAACATGGTTGATAGGGTTATTCATTGTAAGACCCAGCTGAGAGGCGACATTTTTCGCCCTTTATCACAGTCGAACCACTTTTCAGAACTTTACTATTTGATTCTCTGTTTAATTTCTTCTCGTCTTGTTTTATATTTTTTTTCTATATTTAAGATTTGTAAAAGATCATCTTTGCCCTCTCGGTATCTTTTTACTTATTTTCAAACATCTCATTTTAACAATGATTATTGACGGTCTTAAAACTATAAACACAACAGTAATACCTGTTTGAGCACCAAACATAACGATAACACAAAAGGTTCCAGCTCTGACTACATTCGCTGCCATCATGACGACGACAAGTCCAATTCCATAAAGTATATTATTCTCAACAGATTCAATATAAGCAATCAATTCATTTATAATGAATCCCTACAAAACATATTACAACCATGAAAAATCCTAAAATTTCTAAAATTTTCTTTATGCTAAATTGTAAGAATTTTTTTATTTAAAATAGGTGCGAAAAATGTTTTTCATTTTTTGTATATTTCATAATTAGCATATTAGAAATATATGAATACAGATTTGTTGCATTGCAGTATAAATGCCTGGGAATTCACAATGCATAAACATGAGCTGAAAAGAATATTTTGGATTATATTACACCACTGAAGTGCGGTAAAACGTTTGCCAAATAAGATGTAAATACGCGTTTTTTATTCAAGAATTTCACAAAACAACTATGTGATCTTGAAGCAACTGAATAAACTGGGAATGCTTAACAGTGATGTTATACTTTACATATTAATTTCAGGACCTGTTCCCCTGTATTTCATATGATGTTATCTTACTAAATTTACCTAACCCATTTGGAATCGTTAAGAAAAATATACATACCGATACTAGAAAAGTTGACAGAGCATTGACTGCTACAATGATCAAGCTGACTAAAATTCGAGTCTGACAGAATTTTAACCAACAACGTAGAACCGAAGCTTTCTTCTCTCCTTTTGATTTCACTTCATCTTTCCACAATGCTTCTAGTCTGATCCGGAAGAAAGATTGCACAATGAAATTAGACTAATTGACAGCAAAGCAATGATATGAATGTATATATATTATATACCATTATAATAATTATAACATTTTAATACAGTAATTGATTTCAATCTTAATCTTTAAGTGCAAGGGATTGCTTGCATTAAATTTTGGCAGAGAGGGGGGGGGGGGGGGGTTATAAAAATATCTTATCTTCATACATTCATTCTACTTTTCCGCCTTTATCATGTTTATCGTGTTTGAAGTTGTATTATCATTAATAGCACTAATAAAGACATTGAAGTCCAACAATAGTTCACTAATTTCAGTAACGATCATTGCGTGTCTGTGTAATAATACGGACACAGCTTATTGCGGAGTACAGTAAAAGGGCTGCTGCAGTAGTTAATATATAAATAAACTTTTTAAAATTTGGACTGACTGTTCGGTACATTTCGTTATCCTTATGAGAGGTGAGACAATTGCGCTGCTCTTCCACCCAAACCAATAGTTCTACTGCCTATCATTATAATCGTTATCTAAAAATACTCTTTCGTAATGCTATGTATTTTTAATATGTTCATTCCTAAACTTTTGTTGTGAGACCACATTTTATTTCACAAAGTGCATTATTATTTATATTTTTTCATACTACGGTAATTTTTAGCCAATAATACATTTGTCTCCAGGCATCTACCCTACATCCCACTTATTAGTGTCTCCAGGCATCTACCCTACATCCCACTTATTAGTGTCTCCAGGCATCTACCCTACATCCCACTTATTAGTGTCTCCAGGCATCTACCCTACACCCCACTTATTAGTATGTTCATGTTGATTCTGATTTTACAACATACAAAAGGAAATTAAAAGTGAGCTAAAACTGTCATATATTCACCTGTCAGTATTAATTTTGGAAGCCTCATAATCTGAACACTCCCAGATGTCTTCCTCTTTTAGATCCTCATCTCTATGTTTAAACATCTTCATGACTAGAGGTGTCATCCATGTCATAAACATGTATGACAATAAACCAGCCTTATTAATTGGTATTTTACCATCTCTAAAGATATTGAAAAAACGTTGAACAGTGTTAAAATATATCTATCTTTATCGCTATTTTACGAAAATTTCCTTTGATCTTACTGACTGATAATTTCCTTTCTCAGCGGAGTCGAGTGATATGAAAATTATCGCTAGAAACTAAGGGGGCACGTGCCGTTGCTAATAAAATTGACAACGTAGTCATAGGTAAAATAGCGATAAACAGATTATCATTGTTAAGATGATTAACGATAATCTATAAATATCACATTAAGATGGTAACTTAACTTGTATTATCAATGAAGTTGAAAATCGATGAAATAGTATTCCCTACCAGTTATTCTCTTTCAGTAATGTATATATTTGGTTTTAAAATATCATACTCACAGCATTAAAAATAAAATATAAAGTTAATTATTTATTGTTAAGTGTTTTGCAAGTTATAAAATATAATCAATGTTTAGTTGACTGATTTCTTTTAGCCCAATGACCAATGTAACAAATAAAACTATAGCCGAGAACAGATTAAGTCTTAAAAATTGAAAAATTATTTTTTTTACTATTTTTTGATACTTGGGACATTCTAGAAGGCTTACTTTGATGATGGTCTGAAGGGCTTCAGAACTTTAAGAGCTGTAGAATATTTCCGGGAACCTTGTGCATCTCCACTGGTAAAGCCATTTGTCACCTCTTCTGTAATTTCATATTCACTGAAATATAATGGATTTTGCCTTTTATAGTGTGTTGGCCTATGTATACAACAAAGGTTTAAACAAGACTACGTTTACTTAGGACACCATGCTCCGTTCGCAAATAAAATGTAAACTACATCAAATCAAACTTTTAACCTACCTTAAAAAAAACTTTAACCCTATCAGTGAACCGCGAAATGTGGATCAAACCAGAAATTTGTCATAAATGTTATATATAAATTTCGCATCACAAAGAACGCATATAATAAGTAGATGTGACCTGAGCTGTATTTAAAAGTACCTAAAAACAAACTTTGAACCTATCTTAATCAAAACTTTGAACCCGACACGAGACGGATGAACGGACGGACGAATGTACTCATAGACGGTTCAGATACACAGACTGCAAATCATAATGCCTCCACATTTCAGGTAATCCTTAAATCGGTTCAGAGGTTTAAATCGAATTAAACAAAATTTGTTCAAGTTGATAAATGTATCGATGACATAATTATATTATTATAGTAATTATAATATCATTTAGGAAACACCAATAATGTACTCTGTGTAAGAATCATTTTTAGTCTAACGATTATTACACGATTATTACAAGGGCTTTATGCCGGCGTCACACATTGGCGTATAGACCGACGTGCACCAGACGTGCAGAGAAAATTGACTAAGTCCGTATCGTTAGGTGCACGCAAGTGCACGCAAGAGGAACGCTAAGCAATCGTTAGACGCGCGTTGCATAAGTTTGAAGTACGTCGAAATGCAAAGGTATACGCTTGGTGAACGCTATAACTCCAGGAAATTTGTATGCAGCATAAAAATGTTCATCTAGCTCTAGCGTTTGTCAAGCGTATACCTGTTCGCTACACGCACGAAATACATACGTTACAAGCGTGTTGAAAAACGCTACAAACAAGTTTGAGACACGTTTAGGGCACGTTGTATACGCCTCAAGATCGTTCGACTTTTCCTTGGACGTATCCGGGACGTGTTTGTAACATACGCCTGACGTAGTTTCAGCGCTCCGTGAACGTATAAAACGCACCCGTGGCGTATCAAAAACGTATTCTGACATTCAACGAAACTTGCTCTGACATTTATAGTGGCATATGTCCGTGCATTTGCATATTCAAGTGCATGTATAAAATGGTATAAAAGGTTGGGCAGTGTTCAGTTTGGCACTTGCTATAATGGATTGCCTGGAGAGAATCAGGAGGGCATATTATCTTCTAGCCATGACTTTACAACATGTAGACCAAATTCACCTTAACATGCACCAATAGTTACAAGGCATTAGAAGGCGTCGAGAGGAGAATCCACCATTTTCTACATAAGGAAATGCCTTTACCAAGTCAGGAATATGACAGTTGTTTTTCATTCGTTTGATGTGTTTGAGCTTTTGATTTTGCCATTTGATAAAGGACTTTCCGTTTTGAATTTTCCTTGGAGTTCTGTATTTTTGCTATTTTACTTTTTTTTTATGACATTTATTTTAGCATACATGTAAGTCACTCAAGAATTCACATAGATACATTCGTAAATAGTTATCATGAGATTTTATATTTCTTCATATATGAAACTTTTTGCGATAATTTCATATTATCTCTACATTAAAGGAAACGGTGCCTGTTCTGATGCTCAGATGTATAATGAGTCCGAATTAAGAGAAGCAGCGGAAGATGGAAGCATAGGCTTCCCCGATGCCGAGCCTCTTCCAAATGATACCAAAGACGTTCCCTACTATTTCTTTGGAGATGACGCATTTGCCCTAAGAACGACGATGATGAAATCCTACTCTCATAGGACATTGGACAGAGAAGAACGTATATTCAGTTATAGACTATCGCGAACAAGGCGTGTTGTGGAGAACGCGTTTGGTATTTTGGCCAACAGATTCAGAATTCTCCTCTCAACTATGGGTCATTCCCCATCAACAGTTCGTCTGATAGTGAAGACATGCATTATTCTACACAATCTGATGAGAATTCGCTATCCTGGGCTTCAGGACCAACAACTAGATTTTGAACACCCCATCAACAGGAATTTAATTCCAGGAGCTTGGAGGCAGGGACCGAATCTGCAGGATACCCAGAATGTTACAGCAGCTTATATTGACAGTTAGAGAGGGAAAATGCAGAGGAACCTTATCAAGCACTGGATAAACTCGCCTGCTGGATCAGTTGCCTGGCAAGACAGAATGATATGAGACATGAATAATAATTGAAAAATAAATTGATCACATCTGTAAAATGGTTTAATAAGTTATGATTACACTCACTTGTCTTGGTTATAATTGAAAACATTCTTTCATGCTTCTTAATTCACCCATTTACACAGGAACAGTATGATTTCATGCACATATATTGCGATATATGGTAAAAGAAGAAAGTCTGCAGTGCAAAGTCTACACAAGAGTGGACACGCTAAAATGTCTTGCCTGCTTACTGGCATGTCGGAATATAAAATTCTTTATTGATCACTGGAGCATGAAAACAAGGTCAAGGTATAGTGACATATGTCAGACTGACTGACATGGTCACCTACTGAGGAGTCTATAGACCAATTACCATAACTCTATGTATTCTATGTACTGAGAAACTGACCTAATCACGAAAACTGGTCGCAGAATAAACAGAGTCATTCAACCATGAAAATGAGGTCAAGGACATGTGACGGACAGAAAGCTTGCAACGTAAGGCATCTATGAATGAAATTCGGATGGTCTAGGTATTTTTCCTTCTGAGTTATAAAGCTTTCACCAACTTGTTAACGCCGCCGCCGCCTTCGCCGCCGGTATAGCTTTCGACGCAGACGAGACAAAAATCAAACTGGACTAACAGGACGACTTGAACTTGGAAGACTTGGTAGACTGTCTTCTTGAATCTGGTCCCCAGTATTCTCTTCTTGCACTCTCTTTCTTGTTTCCGACGTTCTCATCATTCCACGGCCCAGGCCACGACCAAGAACTGATTTACCTTTGCCTCTTCCTTTGGGTGGCATTTCGAAATAAATTGTTATGAAAAAGGCGGGAACACAAGACCATGTGTATCCAGATGTAATACAAACACTCTATAATTACACGTCACAGACATGCCGAAAGCACGGATAATTTTGCCTGATCTGTGGGTAATCATGTCAAAATTAAACATGACTTCTCAATTGTTCAACTCAAGCCACAAATATCTGCGCTATGGCTCTCTCCTACTTTGAAAGTTACAACAAGTGATCTAAAAATTACTTTTTGTCATAGTTTAAAATTTCAAGGAAATCATGAATCCATGCGATATGGATCTCTCCTAGTTAAAAGATTATTAAAAGTGCTCTATCATATAAAAAAGAAGATGCGGTATGATTGCCAATGATACAACTCTCCGCAAGAAACCAAATGACACAGAAATTAATAACTATAGGTCACCGTACGGCCTTCAACAATGAGCAAAGCCCAAACCGCTTAGTCGGCTATAAAAGTCCCCGAAATGACAAATGTAAAACAATTCAAACGAGAAAGCTAACGGCCTAATTTATGTACAAAATAATGAACGAAAAACAAATATGTAACAGAGCAACAAACAACAATCACTGATTTACAGGCTCCTGACTTAGGACAGGCACATACAGAATATGGCGGGGTTAAACATGTTAGCAGGCGCCCAACCCTCCCCTAACCTGGGACAGTGGTGTAACAGTACAACATAAGAACAAACTATAAAAATCAGTTGATAAAGGCTTAACTCATCAGATGGATACAAATAGATATACATCTAACAAAAACATAGAGTAGACGTGGACGGGTACATCCCAACAACAAAAAGACACTAAATACAGATCTGAGAGTACTCGCAGTTACTGACAGCTAGTTCAAAGCTAATAACAACTAATAAAAAAATCATGCATCTAAGACTAAATTATCAATCATTACACATCCAACATCCAATGGATTTAGCATAAAGACGTCATAAACAGTCAGAGAAAAAACATGACCTTGACTTTTTGACATTTTTTTAAAGTTCAGAAAAAAATCCTGATCACCTGCGATGAAACTCTTTCCTACTCAATATAAAATGAATGTCTAATGATAGTCTTCACTTAAATAAGTCACCATTTTGCTTTTTTTTCTTAATTTTTTTTTCATCATATTATATTTCAGGACCAATTATATATGTTTTTCTTGTGTGTGTATGTTTTTCTTTTTTTTTTCAAAAATGTTTTTCTATTTCAGAAATAATGTCGGATTGTTTTACCCTATTCGTTCGTTCGTCCCACATAAGGAACGTGGATTTTCCAGTTATTTCCAACTTCAGTGTTCAAGTTGAACATTTTAGATTATGCAGGGTTTTCGTGCGTAAGGTCAAAAAAGGATGTTCTGTTTTGTCAATTTTTTGTGAAATCAGGAATTCGGATACATGGATTGTCTTGCTATCTTCTGTTACAGTTGTTTAGTTAGAATTTTTATATTATGCTGATTGTTTGTAAATACATGTATAATGTATTTTGTCCAAATTTCATTTTCTTTTATTCTTTTTAGGAAATGCTATGATGTTGAACTTTTATGTCAAAGTAGATCCTCCTGACATAACTTCCAGTACTTTATTTTTGCCGTTATACAATAGCGTGTCACTTTTCATCTGATAAATAAAATTAGCAATTAGTGTTTCCATACCAAACCTTCATTCGTCAAGATCAGTTTTTGCACTTACCATGTACATTTTGTTTATTTAATATTCACATTCTTTACCTCTTGATACTTTGCAAAACTTTACTCGTGAAGTTTTGAACGAACGGCAACGATAAGTTGTCCTACATTATGAAACAAATCTTAACTTTTATCAAATGTGCATTTCAGACGCAACCATTTCAAGTTGTGATTCAATATTACTGTTTACCAAATCTAATGTTGAAGGAACTATATTCGCGTATACAGCGGGGAAACATCTTTGTCTATTTTTTAGGGGATTTACCAAGTAAAATATTTTATAATATTTCATTCTTATATAAAATATTGTACAAGTAGTTTATTTATTTCAAGCAGTTGCCATTGTTATACAGCAGAATATATATAACTGTTTGACCGCCTCATCGTGCAGATCAAGTTAGCCCTGATATGTATTAAATTTTACAACCCAACTTGTATACAAGTAACCCTGAATATATTATCAACTTGGTCAATTTATTCGTAGACATGATGCCTTTATCATTTCCGTATTTGATATACGCATTAACTATTTGTTCGATTGTATACAGGATATATAAATAAAGTTCTTACGCAATCATGTGATATGATTTCCACCTTGATCTCACTGTCGAAGACTATATATAAAACTGAAGAGATACGGGGTTTTGCCAAATGTACAGATTTTCCCCCGAATTCCATGGTCACTATTATGCCAGATATTCATGTTTTAACGTTCAAGGGTTAAAAAAAAGCAATTATAGTACACAACTTTACTTCGAACAAAGTACAAATAGAAACAAGATGTAAAATGAAAAATTTCTTCAGTAAGAACGAGATATGTTTTCCATTATAGAATTCCTACCTCAATTCAGATGCGTTCCATGTTGCTCCATTGTATAAGGCAGGATTGTCGTAAGCGTATGCTTCCTTATTCTTTACTGTTTCGTCTAGGCCCGTAAATATACTAAACTTCCGTAGTTCTGGAACAGACTTCTTCTTCTTGACGTCAGACATTCTAAACTTCCTCCTAATGCATTTGTATCATATTAATTTGTACAATTATTTCAATTTATCCTTTTATTATATACCAAGTAAGGTTAGAAACATTTCTTTTCTTTTTTTGTATACAAGATAAAGCAACGTACAAATTTTGCCGAAAATGAAACATCCTTAAACACATAGTTACGCTCTTGGCTTTTAAAAGGGTAAACATAGTGTCTACGAATGTATTAGATAAATTTGGTTTTTCACTTCCAATCGTCTATATATTAACGCTATGATCAACAAAAAAGATGAGAACAGTATTAAGAATGATGCTGAAATGTCGTGAACTGCGGCCGTGTAGTTAATTTTGAATTTGTTGATGACCAGATTACTCGTGCCCTTTACATTGTTTTCCAAATTCAATGATACATATGGTTTGTAAAAGTATTAACATTTCAATTATATATTTCTGATATTGTTATGTATGTTCTTATTAAAATAACAGTTCATATTAGTTCTATACCTGTGACATACGGAATTCCTATTCCTTACTGAGTGTATTTCCTCTGGTTGTTTCTGTTTTATAGTCTAGAACAATTAGTCACATACTTTCGTTCTAGTTTGTCACTCTTAAAGATCAAATTGTGACCTGGAATAATTACGGTTTAATTTTATGTTGTGTAATTCTAAATTCATTAACATATTATTATGATCGGACAACCGTTATACATTGAAGAAATCTGTTTTTCCAACAGTTATTTTCATGTATAAGTATTTTAATTTTTACACCATTTGAGGCTAGCTGTGCACATCTGAATGGCTTTCAATTATAAAAAGTATTTTGATATGTCTCTATATATTTAGGAGGGAAAATGACCAGAAGAGAGAAATATTGAAGATATGTAAAAGAACAAATGTCTAAAATACAACAGAGGCGGAAGAAGAAGAGAAAACAGTATACAGCAAACTGTATACCAAAAACTGTGTTTCAGTAAAGTATCAAAATAACATTGGGACTGTAAAATAAATCAAGTATGGTTTTGTAGATTGTTTTCATTATAAATCGGTATTTAAAATATCATCAGGCGTATAATGGCCTGGGGTCTGCAGCCAACTTTGATTCTTCCATGATGACAGGTGAATGAAATACCACAATTCAAAATTCATCTCTTTCGATGCCCAGTTATGGAACACACAAGTTATATATATAGCACGTCAATTTTAATTCACGATAAGCGTAGCTTTGAGTGGATTAAATATGTAAATGAGTTAGGCGTGGCTATATGTTATTTGTAACATTAATGGGCGATGACCATTGTCAAAAGTTAAATTTAATTGTACTTTTCATGCATTAAATATGTCAATTTCTATGACAAAACGTCTCTTATTTTCAGAAAATGAACTTATGGAAGAGACTTTTTATGGCTCCGCAACAAAGTTTTCGGGGCCAAATAGTTTTACCCTTGTCCGTCATTCCGTAATTCTGTCATTCTGTCATTCTGTCATTCTGTCATTATGTCATTCCGTCATTCTGTCATTCTGTCATTCTGTCATTCCGTCATTCTGTCATTCCGTCATTCCGTCATTCCGTCGTTTCGCAACAAACCATTATACGCAATAATTTTCTAAACTCCTACAGATATTCGGCTGATATTTGATATGTGAGTTAACCATGATGAGTTACAGATCAAGTTAAAGTTTCGTTCCAATCTGCTAATTCTTACCAAAATTACGGGCTTTGATAAATTGTTGAAAGTCAGAGTTATACAGACTTTTTTTCTAAACGCTTTCAGATATTAGGCTGATTTTTGGTATGTGAGTTACCCATGATGAGTTAAAGATCAAGTTAAAATTTTTTTCCGCTCTGCTAATTTTTGCAGAAATTGGACTTTGATAAATTGTTGAAATCACATTATACGGACTTTTTTCTAAACGCCTTCAGATATTGGGCTGATTTTTGTTATGTGAGTTAACCATGATGTGTTACAGATGGAGTTTAAGTTTCGTTCCGCTCTGCTGATTTTTGCTGAAATTACAGGTTTTGGACTTTGGAAATGATTGAAAATTACAGTTATACAGACTTTTTTTCTATATGCCTTCAGATTTTGCGCTGATTTTTGATATGTCAGTCTACCATGATGAGTTACAGATCAAGTTTATGTTTCGTTCCGCTATGCTGATTTTCATGTCGTTTTAACACATCTTGTTAGATCTGCAGTACATCCACTTCCGGTTTGCTGATAGTTTGAAATTTAACTACACATTGATCAAGGAAATTTTTCACCAAACTAGTATTGGTCTTGAGAGCTGGATCCTATCCATGCATGTTTGTGTCCACATGTGTTATGAAATTGCAGATTTTTCAACTTTTTGAGACGGGGCCATTCGTGTCATTCCAATACATCTATTTCAGTAAGATTTTATTTAATGATAGATGTAGGTAAATGAATTGTTGCCATGATACTTGTTCTTTCATCAAGGTTTAAAGACCAGAGAGCGATTTGTGTGTTATTGAAGAGTTTCCCCACACTGACGAAAATGCTTGAGGAGTATGATGCAAAACCTTGTTCGCTGTATACCATGCTGCTTGCTTTCAAAACCAGAAGAATTTAAAGTTGTGATACGAAGGAAACTTTTTTTAACCTTATTGTGAAGGTATTCTGCCTTCCAAACACCATGGAAAAGATGGATTAATGGATGGCCTTTTGATTGCCTAAAGTCCAGATATAAATATTTTAAGCATCTTCCACGGAGATATACCTTTGAAAAGTGGAGGAAATGAAACGACTGAAAATCCAGTGACAAGTTTTTTTGGAATATTTATTTTGTCACGATAAAAACAAGTATCCACTAATTTATCAATATCGCCTCTTCGATTATAGACCACGTTATTACTTTTTGTAGCTGTCCTCGGGCCTTCATTTGCTTCACTTTATGAAACCATTTTTTATTTAGCCTAAGGGTAAGGTTTACAAGTTTGACTAATTATAGGGTAAGCCCACTTCCCCCATTCCCTAATTTATTCTTTTTGATAAACGGTTGTGTATGCATTTTATTGAAATGTATTAGGACATTTTATGGTCATTGATTTCATTGTTTACTAGGCCAAGGAGGCGGAGCTAGACAGTGAAATAACAACTTCTGTGATCGAAGATGATCTAAGCTCCTCCTATTCTTTGCTTTCCTATGAAAAGCGACCAACGTCGGGATTGGAGAGTGCAATAACTAAAAGATAACAGAAGTTAACTCACTCAAAGATCAAAGGAAAATTACCATTCATGTTACAATCTTATATACTTTTATTTACAGTAGATGGTCAGTCCATATAGAAACTGATTATTTACTACATGTAGCTGCAAACGAATTACATGATTCCGTCACTTGTTTCCAATTTATATGTTGATAGTCGGAAAGCTGACCCCAGTTTAAACCCATTTCTAAAGACAGCAATCATTATGGAAGTCATGTGACTACTATAATTATTTGGGCATTTTTGGGGCATTTTTTGTATTCAACTGAAATAAGTCTGTTACCTCCAAAAAGTGCCATCAAATGAAATCAAAATATGCTGTATTGTAGGTTATAAATGACAACTGCGTATTAGTAGTTCTAACATAGAAATTGTTTTGATTAAACGTACTGAATTAGAATACGAAGCCTTTAAACCTGAGCTCGTCATTTATTTGTACTTTTATTATTTTAGCAGCATTTGCTGTTATTTACAAGAGAACATAAGTAGAATCAATAATCACCTTTTTAATAAATATAATTGATTATATTTTTATACAACAGATATATGTAAAACATTTAGGTAAACATATTCTATAATTTCAAAACAGTTCGGACTTCCTGGACTGAAATAGGGCTGTGCAGTTATTCTGGGACATACATGTAATACATTATCCCATGTGTTACTTTAACATTTTGGTATATTTTTTTACTGCTGTATAATAACCGAATAAAACTAACACAGAAAAAAATTTCTAGTGCATAAATGCAAGAGCTAGCCAAAATATGTATAAATACTGGATCTAGACATGGTTAAAATGTCACTGAAATTTATGTTGAATTACCTTGCAATATATTTTTTCATATATTTCTTTACAAAATAAATATTAATCATAGTATCTCAATGTAAATCATTCATAATTTAAATAAAAACAAATTTGTGTTCTTTTGTGTATGTTTATTAATTAAAATAACTATAAGTTTTGTCTCATTTTATTCTATTCAGGTTCTCGTGAATGAAGCCTTTACGATAGGATAATAATTTTATATGGTAAATCATGAACTTGCCAATAAATAATAATGATATAGATTCCGATCTCATAACTTTTCCTCTATTTCAAAAAAATAACTTTTTATTTTAACAGAAATAAGTCACACTGTATATATGATTATGAAAATGCCCGTCAAATTCATTAGAAGTGATTGAAATGCAAGTCTGATAGAGATTGCTATAAGTTCAAAGGACAAGACCGGACGAGATCAATAACCTCGCCCCTTTATTGTAAATCAGATACAGACCGTCACTTGTACTGTAAATATAACTTCTACATATTATATTCATATCAACTTAAAACTTTTACAGCCTTCATTACAAAATAGTAATATATTTACATCACGAGTGTCTATGCATGATTTTGTCCATCTCATGATCTAAATTTTAGCATGTGGCTGTTGTGCACAGACATTATAAAGTTACCTTTTCTTTTTGTTTCAGTTGACGTCGAATTAATCCTGTCAAATTCACAGTAGAATTCTCCATTGCTTTTTCAAACAACTGTGCATTTCCAAACACACTAAATGTTGTGTACATTCGGTTCACATGCATGTTGACATCATGTGAGACCAAAAAAACCTACAATGTCAAAACATGTCTATCTTTCGAAATTTAGTCCAAACGGGGTTTCATAAGGGGTGACAGATCGTATTAGACTTAAAATATTTTCTAACTTTAAGATACGTATTAATTTCGTAAATTTATATAACTTTAATGTTAGTTTATTTGTGAAAACAGAAGAAAACAGTAACAGACAATTTCGCATAATTTTCAACGTATTTCTTTTTTGATGGCAAATACTTGAGTTATATTTTCTAAATTACAACAAGACACATGCTTAAGAGATAGAGGGACATCAATTTCTGACTCCAGCAGCAAGTAAGAAACAGAAAGCAGAAAAATTTCCCAACTGCTGACAAATTCATTTTTCCGCGAAAATAACGCAACTTCAGAATGGAGGGCTTTAATATCAGTCCCATTGTTGTCTTTATAAAGTAGCAACTACGGTGACCGTCGTTTCTTAGGGCTTGCTTTTAACACTAGAATATAATTGTAAGCTCCTCCAACCTAATTAATCAACATTATTTATTCATTTTACACATTGTTCTTCTACTTGCACACACTGAATAACCCGCGTAGCAGTTTATTTAAAAGTGTGCGCCACTTTTTTGAGGTTATTTCGAATAGACAGAAAACTGCATAGTCATTCCATATAATTTGATTCTAAAAGATCATTTTTAAGGAGTAAATCATGAAAAAACGTTGATAACGTCACGATCACATGCCAAAATTATGTCTATGAGCTGATAGACAAAAACTCTCAACCAATCAAAAGACATCCAAAATCAAATTATTTGAAAAGGTAGTTGACATTTATTTTTTATGTATCATAAATATGAATAATCAATAGAAATGAAACAATATATACATCCCGATGTTTATTCAAGCATATCTTTCCTTGTTGATATGCTCTATGGAGCATGACACGAATGATTTATTTCGATTAGAATTGGAAAATTCAGGACTTTTGTACTTTGAAGCGGACCTATATGACGGTTGAAAGGAATCAATTTTAATTTGACGAAGCATATGATCTGGAAGTGAACACATGGAATCTGTATATATTAAATACATGGTAAACAAACTCATTATATATACCAGGTTTAGAATTATGAGCGCCAGATGCGCATTTCGTCTACCAAAGACTCCTCAGTGACGCTCGAATAAAAAAGTTTAAATGGCCAAATAATTATAAAGTTTGAAGTTGAAAAGCATTGAAGACAAAAAATTCCAAAAGTAAATGGGCGTGTTATATTTTAAATACACGGTAAGCAGTACAGTCCCCTTGCATAGTTAGGATTGGGTTCGTGTTACTCAGTCTTTAATTCTCTCTGTAGTATTTTTTAGACTGTCGTTTGCCTTTTCGTCGTTTTTCTGTTTTGCCCCTTTGATTTCTCGACGGTTATATATATCAATCTTGCCGTATCCTAAAGACATGTACGAGAGTCGGAATGTGGGTCGTTGATTTCTTTATCCTTAAGTTTTTTAGATCAATTTTCTTTGATCTTTATTTATTTTGACCCTTATTCTCTGTTTCTTTAAATTTCAGAGCCCCTTTATTCTCCATTCTTTATTTCTTGTCCTATTTTTCTCTATTCTTTGTTTTGTCTTTTATTCTGCAATTTTTGCCTATTATTCTCTATTCCAAACTTCATGTGCAATTCACAACTTGTGCGGTTTGTTAGGATATGTTCAAATGAAAATGTTTTTAATAAACGTAACCTTGCATTAAGGTCCGTGTAACACTTATCAATTCAATGTTTTAAAAAGTTTTCAAATTTTAGATTTTTGGAATTTTGATCAAAGTTTTAAAATATCAAAAATCCAAATTATTTAAAAGTTTTGAAATTTTAAAATTTTCACCATATAAATATAATTTTAAAATTCTAAATATCGTTTTTAAATTTGATAGTTTAGATATTTGATCAAACTTTAAAAGTACTAAACTTAACGTGCAGTTTTGATTATTTCGCTTTTTGAAAGTTTGGTTTTTTTCAATTTTTGATTAACATATCAAAAATAGAAAAGGGGCGAAAAGAGGGGTACCTGTAAACACGGCTCTGATTATGATCATTCTTAGTTAGGAATAAAAAGCACGAAGTATATCTGTAAACTGCGAAACGAAGCGAAACAAAACGAAGTGAAAAGTTACTGTTACTTAAGAGTTAATGTATGAAATAAAACCAGAGGCAGACAGTTGAAAGCGGTTAAAAATTGATTTACAAAATAAATATTTCTCAAAAGAAGAGAATTCATTTTAAAACAAGACGCACGGCTCTGATTATGATGATTCTTACCTTAGAAAAGAAAGCACGAAATATAGCAAATTATTTTTAAGTGCAAAATAAATAATCTAAAGAAGAAGTTCTTTTTTTAATCAAATTGGACATCACATGAGATAACAGTATCCTGAAAAATTTTATGGTTTTGCATCTATTGAAATAAAAATGTAAACCTATTTAAACCGGCATCAAACAAGTTGATTTACGTTTTGAAAATCTCTAACATAAGCATTATAGCGTTTCAGATACATAATTCAGAACTATGTGGTTTACCAAGCGCCCATCATTAAGGAGTAACAGTGAAAACTGACCAACTCGCAGTAGGTCAAATAGTATGGTTAGGTTGAGTATGTATATATATTTCTACTGAACTTTAAGCAATAAAATGGCTCAATACACGTTGTGTTATCTCAAATTTGATTTCAAATTTTTCTGTTTTGCTCTACGACTTCTTACTTTCTGCAATCATGTCGGCAGATGAAATCATTGCTTGTACATTTTGAACGATCATCTTTAACCTTTTAATCAACTATTTCAGTTCTTTATAAATTGTTGGCCTTCAAATATTCGGCTTTGCGCGTTCCTGATAAAGGTACACCCAGAAAAGCTCTTCGAACGCATGCAATTTATGACGTTTTGTTTTCATTTTTTATCGATTGCATGACGATCATATATTGCCTTGTATCATTGATTTTAGTTCTAAGTATTGGTACAGTAGGAAAAATGAATTCAATGAACGTTGTTCTATAGCCTCGAATGTGGGTGGTTGCTGATATCTTTTTTACGCTGAATTTAACAGTAAGACCAAATATTAGTAGCTTGGAGCCAGGATACTGTTATAAAGTATCTACATAAACTCACCATAGATAGATACCAGGATGTAAACGTTGTATTTGCGCCAGACGCGCGTTTCGTCTACAAAAGACGTATCAGTGACGCTCGAATCAAATTAAGCTAAAAAGGCCAATACAGTCAAATAAAATTAAAAAGGCCAAATAAAGTAATCGTTAACATCAAACTCATCGTTCTGGTTTTGTAAAAGCATATAAACGTATACCAATAACATTATTTTCAGCCTGCATACTTATGTAAGAGTTGCCGCTGTACATTAAGCGCTCATCTATCCATTTGTAGGTGTCGGCATTTTGAAAATTGCAATTAATTTTTAAAAGTTTATATCAGCGATAAATGGTAATCTATTTGGGAATCCGAAATATAAATATTGTCACTAAGGTGACACTATATTTGACCTCCCACAATAATGGTACATTTTTCAGGTGCGGATCAATGAATTTGAAAAGGTGGGGGCCTAGTCAGGGAACGATCATTTATGTCTTTTTCCTAAAAAAATATTCTGTACAAGCAGAGGACAAAAAAAAATATTCTGTATCCAGTTTTTCCCAATGCCATATAGTGTTAACTTATGAACCAAATAATTTGATTAATTACGTTGAAAAACTTAATAAAATTGTTCTCGCTTAGCGCGATGAAAAATTCTCAGCTCTACAAAACAACCATACCCCCACTTTTGAAGTTAAATGGTTATTTTGTAGACAAAGTTTGGACTGATGCTTGTAAAAAGTATATGCATTTATCATATACGTAGCTCGATTAGGGGTCCTCAATCCGCCATTTTTTTTAAAATAGCAAATAAAAGGAAACGGGATTTTTTTGTATTAAGGGATGGTTCCGTATTTGTTATTTGTGCATTTTTAAGTTAGCGTACGACAATCAACTTTCAGCAAAGTAAAAGAAGACAGTATCTGTCCAGTCAGAATGGGGCGTGTAAAGAGAGTGCCACGCTGTCTGCATGATGAATATTTAATTTTTGGCCATACACCAATGTTGCTCTTGAAAAACCAGGACAATGTAAAACGCTGAATTTTAATTAAAGCATTCACCTATAGAGCGCTGAAAACTGAATATTTGAAAGTCAAGTAAATACAAGAACCGAAACAATTGAAAAGGTGTTTGGCCATATCAAAATCCATCCCCGATGCAGTTGAAACCTAAGTTTCTTTGTAATTTGTATGTAAACGAACTATTTTAAATGATCGATTGTTGGTTGCCAGTGGCATATATTTCATACATGTTCAGGACGATAAAAAATTAGAAATAATACAACAGGAAGGGATTGTGCTTGATATTCATATGATGAAGACATAATCTTTCAATTAGTTTAATTGAGGTCTGGAGCTGGCATGTCAGTAAGTAGTAGTCCTTTGTTAATTTATATATCATTTTCATTTTGATTAGTTTCTTTTGTTTCCTCTTCTGACGTAGGACTTGGACTTTTTGTAAAGTGCGTTTTACTGTGGGTATTGCTGTGTGTTTGTTTTTTCTACATTGGCTAGAGTTATAGGGGAGGATTGAGATTTCACAAAACATGATTAACCCCGCCCATTTGTGCGCCTGTCCCACTTCATGGGCCTCTGGCCTTTTTAGTCTTGTATGATTTTAGTTCGGAGTTTAGTATGACGTCCATTATCACTGAACTTGGTACACATTTTTGTCTAGGGGCTAGCTGAAGCACGCCTATCACAACGTTCATTGCGACACCATAAATTCAGTATTCCTTCTGTATCAATACTTGTGTATTTCTATGTTGTGATGTTACACTATTGTTTCAGATAAGTTTTTCTCGTTTCTCGTTTTTTATATAGATTAAACAGGTGTTTTTCCCGTTTGAATGGTTTAACACTAGTAATTTTATGGGCCCTTTATAGCTTGCTGTTCGGTGTGAGCCAAGGCTCTATTTTGAAGACCATACTTTGACCTATAATGGTTTACCTTTATAAATTGTGACTTGGATGGAGAGTTGTCTCATTTGCACTCATACAACATCTTCTTATTTCTTTTGGAACTGAAATCAATCATTAAAGGCATTATATTATCGTCATGCAATCGATAAAAAATGAAAAAAAAAAACGTTAAAAATTGCATGCGACCGAAGCGCTTTTTCTGGATCTACCTTCATCAGGAATGCTCAAAAGTCGAATAATACTATTTGGCTTACTGCGAGTTGGTCAGTTTTCACTGTCACTCCCAAATGTTAGGCGCTGGGCACACCAAATATTAGATTTTTTTGTTAAAGTAAATCAACTTGTTTGATGCCGGTTTAAATAGGTTTAAAAAATGTTTTTAATAGATCCACAACATTAAAAATTTCAAGATACTGTGATGTCTAATATGATTTACAAAACTCCGAATTCTTCTTTTAATTATTTAGTTTGTAATTAAAACTGATTTGATATACTTCGTGCTTTTTATTCCTAACTAAGAATGATCATAATCAGAGCCGTGTTTACAGGTACCCCTCTTTTCGCCCCTTTTCTATTTTTGATATGTTAATCAAAAATTGAAAAAATCAAACTTTCAAAAAGCGAAATAATCAAAACTGCACGTTAAGTTTAGTACTTTTAAAGTTTGATCAAATATCTAAACTATCAAATTTAAAAACGATATTTAGAATTTTAAAATTTTAAATTATTTGGTGAACATTTCAAAATTTCAGCAAAAACTTTTTGAAATTTTGAATTGATAAGTGTTACACGGACCCATTAAGGTGGTACATAACACTACTTAGAGATAACTCTGTAAAAATCAGTTGAACGTTTTAATCACGTTCTATTGTTAAGGAAATATTAAGCTTCTCAATGATCAAAATTAGTGTTTGTCAAACTGCTATATATCCAATGAAATTTTTCCGATAAAGTGTGTGGTTCAAGTTTTTAAAATTTTTATATTTTTGTCAAAGGGTCAAAGTTAATATTTTGTCAAAATTTTATGAAAATTAAACGAGCCAAATTAATTTAAGTCAAGGCCTCGCGGTCATAAAACTTTCGAGCTCGATTTCCCTACTCAGACTCAGAAATCAACCAATCAAAATCCTGGATTTGGTGTTTCGAGCACAAGTTTTGTACTCCGAGTACTGAGTAAAGTTTTATGACCGAGAGCCAAGATGTTTGGTACCACCTTAAAACAAAAGTTTATTTTACATTGTTACAAATACCACAGACATGAGAATACTTTCAAAACATTTTACAGTCGGTATCTGCACCTTGTCTGTTAATACAATGTTTGTTGTAAACAAATCAATATAAGATTGAATTTGTCACCCAACATTTTATTGTAATGTCGTTAATTGAACTAATCACTGAAAAATAATCTATCTTACCTCCTATACATTTCTAGGAATATCATTGGTTAAAAGCGACCGCGAGGAGACCGTGTATATTTAATATGGGGTTAGTAGGTGTGGTTTATTTTAAAACACGGTAATGGTTTAAAAAAAAAACAACACGACGTTGATGAAAAATCTGAAACGTTTCGCCCGGACAACAGATGTAGAAATTGATGATAAACGATTGAAATAAATGCAGAAAACACATTAATAGCTAACAAGTTGTTATTATTGGTATTTATTTTTGTATAGACCAATGGAAGTAGGTTCTTCATTTGAAGACATCCTTTGATAAGCTCCTAGTCTAGATGTCGCATGTTAAGATAGTTGGTAAGATAAATTTGTTGTATGTAGACTCGATACATTTCTGGAGTCTTTCAATGGCAAGGGCTAAATGCAGGATAAACTCACTAATTCAATAAAGATGGTACTTTCTTATATATGTGACAATTGTAAACACTCATTGCGGTATATTTTGCGAGTCCTGATATCCTTTTTTATGTATTTTAACTTCAAATCGTTCTATTTAGATGATGACATTTTGTATGAATTACACCTCATGATAGGGAGAACAGTGTGGGAAAAATTCACGTGTAAAATGATTTAACTGGTAGTTTAAAATAAATAAACATAACTAATTTAAATAAGAAGATGTGGTATGAGTGCCAATGAGACAACTCTTCATCCAAGTCACAATGTATAAAAAGTTAACAATTATAGGTCAAAGTACAGCCTTTAACACAGAGCCTTGGCTCACACTAAACAGCAAGCTATAAAGGACCCCAAAATGACTAGTGTAAAACAATTCAAACAGGAAAAGCAACGGTCTAATCTATATAAAAAACGAGAAACACTTATGAACCACATCAACAAACGACAGCCACTGAACAACAGGCTCCTGACTTAGGACAAGTGCATAATAACTAAGGCTATAAGAGTACTTGTAATCAATATATAATATGAAAAGAATTATATGTTACATTAATACTAATGTATGGTTGAAATTCATCTTCAGGCGGGTGCTTTCCAAATGAGTATTAAATTTCACATATTAACAGTAAGTCAAAAGAATGTTGAAACTCGGATTAACTGAGAATGACGACATAGGTAGTTGGACTTCCCCTTTATTTTATTTTTTTCTTAAACACGATAACAATCTGATAAAAACAAACTAGAGACTAAATCTTAATGTCTTTTTTCACATTTTCGGTTTCGGCAGTTTGTATAACAATTCCTAAGCAAACTCAGCAAGCAAAACAAATACTGAAACCTTTACGTATTCTTCTTACTTGTAATTTGCAGCAGGAACTTTTTTTTTCTTTGAGGATGTACTTAGGTGGAATTTAAAAAATCTAGAATTCTAAAATTGATACTATAAATCAGAAGAGCAGTAGGTAAGGAACAAAATGAGCTAAAAATATTGATAGGTTATGGAGCTACTTTTCGAGATATTTATTTTTTTTTAAATGGCGGGAAAAGGCTGACTCGGACTTTTACCTTATATTTGCATTGGTATTATTTAGGTCTCAAATCGAAAGAAAACAAATCTAGAATCTGCTTAAATATTGGTAAATGACCTATTACATGTATGCGCTATTGAAGTCTTATATGAGAAGAAAAATGGGTGTTATGGGGCAAAATATTTTACCCTGTATCGTAGGGAAAAAACCAAGGAGTCAAGGAGAACATCTGACAAAAATTCCTAAACCTCATCAAGTACATCCTTAAGAAACGCATGATATACAAAGTAATAAACAGCAATATTGAATAAAAATATCATTCGATATTGAAAGAACGCAACACTTTAAAAAGGTTTTAGATTGACTATAAAACACAAAACATGGTTCCTAAAGTAACGCAGTCAGATAGTTGCTATTTTAGTTTTCAAATCCAAACATGCCTTCACTTTACAGATGAAAAAAGTTACTGGATAACAACAGTATACTGCATATACATGTTTTAGGCACTTCCATATATACATATGCATTACACATAAAGGAACCCTCGTCGTACCAACCTTACTGGACCTGTTGCAATGTAGAAGTGTTGTTTATATCCAAACAAGATGTCCTTCATTCCAAAGATAGTATATTGTTTTCCCATTTTTCATCTCTGTCGATCCACATTATAGACAGAATGTATCGAATTGATTAGTTATTTTATTTTTTTCGTCCTAAGTATACATGTGTGTCGATCTGATGAGTCAAGCTAGTTAAGGTAGCAACAGCTATCAGTTGAATGCTGTCGCTCAAGAAAACGAAAAAATTCAGAAGAACAAAACTCTTGTTTTATCTTGTTCTCGTACTTGTATTTATTCTTTTTATTATCGACTTTTTTTCTTTTCTTTGTTTCGGTTTTGTTTTGTTTTATTTTGTTTTATTTTTACGTTTGAATTTTTGTTGATGCCGTGATCTATACTATTTGAGTAGTAATAAACCTTTTTTTAAATTATAGTGATTACGATAAGAATTGTTACTTTCAGTAGCAATTCAATCATGATTATGAATGTACATACATATAAGTATTTTACTCGGTTATTGTGAATATTGTCCCTTTGATATCTTCCGCACACCTTTTACTTCTTTCTATGTATGTATCATGAAATAAGACCATAATTTTAAATATATTTCAATTAAAATAAAAATTAGACTAATACATTTGTAGTACGTCTTTTAAATGAATTTGAAATACTGTATGGTTATAATTGCCTTTTAGGGAATATACATGTGCCATTTTTTCGCTCCATTGGAGACCCATTGGTGACCATGGGCTGTTTTCGTCTCTTTGGGTTGGTTGTTGTCTCCTTGATACATCCCCCGTTTCCGTTCTCTATTCTATGCAGTATTGCCTATTCTAATAAGTAATCCGTAACTGTCAATCTGGTTATTCTAGTTATTTTTCGTTAATGTGCTTGTGAAATTGGTTTGTTTCAATAGTACAATATTTCGATTTTATTTGAAATACTCGTCTGTTCAAGTTTAAATCAGTTCAGACGTGAACTCGTAAAACCTAACCTCTGAGGTCTAAGTATTGACTTGATAAAAGACCCGTATCGACATTTATCTGAAAGTTTGAATAAGATATAAGTAATGGACAAAAATTATAATAAAACATTTTCAAATAAATTTAATAATTAATAAATGAATTAGCTAAATTACAATATGCAAAAATGCGCGCGGCTAAATGCGTTATGTGAAAAAATTTCTGACATAAATCTGTCTAATTTGATATGAATAACAACTTCTTATTGTGAAAGATGGAGCTATTATGATATCTTTTTACGGCTAAGAAAGTGGGAGATGTTACCTCCCTGACAAGTAAGTGTTGAAAGGATGAACATTTTTACTAAATGGCGACCTACATTTGATCGAATTTGAATTTTGACAAGTATAACGTTTGCGCGAAAAAAAAATGGTATTACTTTTACCTGTGTTTTAAACCTGATAAAAACAAAAACAAGATTCATTGAACTGAATTTTGTCCTTGTCTGTACGTGGATTTTTTTTTGGCGCAAACTGACGCCCTTTTTCGTATACAAATACGGAAGGCTCCTATTTATCTCAGGAGATTTGACACGATTGGTCTTTAATTCTCACCATGGCTTTCAATTGCAGTGAACAGTACAAACTACTATGAAAGGGAATTAAACAAATTACCTTTTATGACTTATATCAAAAAGGAGCAATGTCATTAAAATAAAATCTAATTGCACAGAAGGTACTACCCAATAACAAAGATAAGTGCCTTGATTAGAATTTAAATGCAAACTAAAAATGATGGTCCTGACCATCCACCAGACAACGTGCAAGTCACACGAATTATTTTACCGCGGCTACGGGTCCTTGACATTTGGCTGATACATGTGAATGTTACAACTTCTCCTACGTTATACGACTGCTTGTAAGGAGAAGGTGATACCCCTCCTCTTGCTGGTCGGTTACATGTTACTTTATCTAAAAAATAGAATTTAGCAATAAATAAATTGTGACAAACTGAAGGTAATATTGTATTATTTACAATCGAATTTCTTGTAAACTAATATAAAATAAAGAATTATGGTATGATTGCCAATATGAAAACTATCCAACAGGGTTCAAATAACGCGAGTTAAGAAATCATAGGTAACCGTACGGCTTTTAACAATGAGAAAAACGCATGACGTATAGTCAGCTATTCAGTCGACATGATATAATGTGTAACAATGTAAACGAAACATCCAACGGTCAGATTTATGACAAAAAAATAATCGAAACATACATTTCACAGACAGCAACCAAACAAAATCCTCTGAACTACATGATTCTGGCTTGGGACAAGCGCATACAAAACCTGGTGGGGTTAAACATGTTTGTAAGCTCGACCCTCCCTTAACCTAGAAAATGATGAAACAGTAAAACATAAAAACAAACTATTAAACTCAGTTCGAAATGACTTGACTCACCAGATCGGTACGAAACACAGAAGACCGTTTTGACTGTTCAGTTTAGCAACATAAGATTCAGTGCAGGATATACCTACCCTTCCGGCGCAGCTGAGATAGTCCCCGGTTTTAAGGAGAGGTGTTCGTGTTGCTGCGTGTTTAGTTCTTTATTTCATGTTCATGTTGTCTTCTGCTTATGTTTTTTGGTTGTCTTTTTTGTATCTTCTGTCTCTTTTCACTGTCGTTTTTGCCGCCTGTGAAAACATCTCAGATGATGTTCAGACCAGAATGAATGTTTTAGACGAACATTCAGTTAATAGGGCTTGAAACTGATTTATATTTATTAGTTTACACTATGAATTATCCAAACCTTCAGTTTCCTGTTTATCACATATTTAAAAATGTTGTGCAGAAAATACGTCAAAATAAGGCTATACTATATAAAAAGTTACATACGACATACTGGAGCAGTACCATTCCAGGTGCCATTTTTCCTACATGTTCTTGTCATATCACCGAAAACATGTCGATAACCAGATTGACACTGGTACGACAAAGTATCACCAGTATCTTGAACTGTATATTGTACTCCAGGCTCTACTGCCGGATCAGGACATGTTGCTCCGGAACTTTCTAGTGGTACTAATTAGAAAATAGCAAAAAATGTTGTAATATGTTGTAACAAAAATATAAGAAAACGCATAAAGGAGTAGGTTCGGTAAGGGCCATATTTGGCCCCGATTATGAAGTTCAATGTTTCAAGATGAAAAATAGTTTAATTTGATAAAAAGACATGTGAGAAAGTTAAAGTATACTGTTTTTGTCCCAAGTTTTTTTTTAAAGCGTTGATTTTTACATCCCAAATAGGCCAAACTTAGAGATATTTGCGAAAATTGACAAAATCGTCCGGATTTCCACCAAACTAATGCATAGGAAACATAGAGCGCAAGCGTCGACAAACTAAATATTCAAGTCAGATATGTAAAATGTTATAACAAACATTATGCGAAAAGATCTTTTTTGTCGACGCATGCGCTCTATGTCTTCTGTTCAAAAAATAAACGGAAATTCACCCGTTTTCATTGAATATTCGTTGAAAATCTAAAAGTAGTATTTGTGACGTCATGAATAGAATGCAATTACGTACATTTTCAACAAAAAGATATATTTCCTATCTAGTCATTGTATTAGCCATGATTCATTATGATATTGGTAAAAAAAATCCTAATTTGAAATTCTAGCTAGATATAGGGCCGTTTTAGGGCCATAGCGAACCTACTCCTTTTTTTTCAAGAAGCATTTTTAAAAATGGTAATCCAAATTATTTTTTTTAGATTTTTCTCTCAAATGGATGCATAACTAGTCAAAATTGATATAACGAAATATGTTACATTATATGTTTTTGAATAACGTTATATATATTTATATAGTCTACCGTCAATTTGACAGTTAGATGCATTGGCAAGACCGCTATGCGAAAGCAGTCGACCTTTTCGGGATATTTCAAATTTTGAATTTTCAACATTTCACGAGTATAATATTAGAATAGGAATATTGGTTGTGTTTTTGAAGAGTTGTTACTATCAATGTTTTATTTCACTGTTGAAAATATCCGTTGTACTTACACGATCCGCATCGCTAGTAAAACTGCATTGCGACTATCAAATCCAAAATTGACAGTCGCAACTATTCAGTACTCCGTTATGTATGTACGTACATTCTTATAGCTGACTATGCGGTATGGGCTTTGCTCATTGTTGAAGGCCGTACGGTGACCTATAGTTGTTAATTTCTGTTTCATTTGGTCTCTTGTGAAGCGTTGTCTCATTTGCAATCATACCACATCTTTTTTATATTATAATATTTTGCCAAAGATGCAAACAGTTCTGGTATTTACACGAGGTACCCAAGAGAGCAAAACATGTTTTATTCGTAAAGTGTTTCATACTTTACAAAGAAGAAACAGCACATTTTATTTTTCACAATAATTCACCTATCTTTTCCATTTTTAAACAACTCGCTTGTATCAAGTTTTTTTTACAAGCGTTCATGTTTAATTAGGATCCATTTCGAAAATAATTTTAGATACAACCTTATAAATAGGACGAACCTGATACACCTGTTGTTGGTGTATACCCTGGAACTGTCGTCGATGTATACCCTGGGACTGTTGTAGTAGACCCATGTAATGTACCAGTTGAGGGTTTAGGTCGCATTGGTTTTGGCTTCATGTTTAGTTTGATGTTCAGCTCAATAGATGGAGCTACAACTGAAATTGATATTTTTAGAATTTATTTGATATGTCATGTATGTAGTGTATTAATATACGCTGTTATTTCCCGTTATACTTACTTTTTGTTATCATAGTTTATTTTGTACATTCGTGTGTCACCTTACCTTACCATTGCTATAGTAATATTAATAAGTTAACTGTTTACTAAACTTTGAACTGATTGAGAAATATAATGATTTTCCATACCAGGAATATATTATCTTAGCTGAATCTAGCAAACCGTTTCGACATTTTCTATCCGCAATGCTCTCCTAATTCGTACTTTGTTTGGCATTAATTTTTCTTTTATTCGAGCGTTGCTTATGTGTCTTCTTTTTCTAGATGAAATGTGCGTCCAGCGTACATAACTATAAGCCTGGTATCTTTGATAAGTTTGTTTTAAAGACAGGATCATATTATGATATCGAATGTATCCATGATTTCAATTTGAGTATGTTTATTTGAAAATGCCTAAAAAACGCATATCAATGAAAAGTGCAATTAAATTATGTAATCTATTTGCATTTCCGTGCAGAGATGCACAATGGTTTTTGTTGGGTTTTTTTTTTTGCTCTAAAAAGCGAGTTTCGCTCACCTAGATCGATGCGGATCTTTAACAAAATGGTACTTTCCAACATTGTAGACTAGAAAATAAATCATGACTAAAATCTCTTTTTGGTTGATCGTTTTCTGCAGATCATTTTAACTGTTTACAGTTTTTGCCAAAAATAAAAAAATGGGTAAAAATTGTCAAATCTCCTAACTGAAAAGAAGGCTACTGACAATTTAAGCTATGTTGACCATTTTTGCTATTTACAGTTTTTTCTTTATCCACCAAACTGTTCACCAAATACAAAAAAAATGGTGAAACAATAAAGATTTGACTGATAATTTCAGCAATGCTGACTTATTTTTTATTTTTTATTTTTAAATGCAACTATTATAGTTTTCAAGATATCGACAAGAACCCCAAAACATGGTAAAGTCGTCATTTAAGGCAATAACTAATTATTTGTAGATCTTGACTTGCTAACCATTTTTGCTATTAAAATTTCTATTTATTTACTATAGTATAGAAGATTATATGCAAAAACGCCAAAAAATATGTAAAAATTGTCTTTTAAAGGCAATAAATCCTTAAGGACATACGATACAGTTTTAATCCCACAGTGATTTGTTTTACGAAAATTTGCATACAAGCTATTTTTCACCTAGTCAATTCAAATATGTAATAAAAGTATACCTTCATGTGCTACTTTAAGAGTTAAATGGGGTCGAAATTTCAGACATTTACGCAAAATTTCGGTTTTTTTTAACATTTCTATCCTTTTGATAGACATACCTAACTTTTTTGTTTCAAAAGATAAAAACAAGCGGATTTTTGTAAAAACATTTGGAAAATTTTCATTACATAAGTCATTACCTCCCCTGTAACTGTAGCGTATGCTCTTAAGGGCAATAACTCTTAAAAGGAGTCAATTGACGTTTTCAGCCATCAAAATTATATGAAGATCTTGTCTACCTGATACATTTAACCTATTTAAGATTCTATCTATGGATTATAACAGTTTTCAAGATAATAAGCACATTTTTAAAGCTAGATTTGGTGAAAATAGTGATGAAAGGGCAAAAACTCCAAAAAGGTGTCAACTGACAATTTTGGTGGTGCTGACTTATTTGTAGATATTGCCATGCTGATCGTTTTGTGCTATTTAAGGTTTCTCTCTATCTATTAAAGTCTTTTTGGTAACAGACAAAAAGATTAGACCGTTGGTTTTCCCGTTTGAATGGTTTTACACTAGTAATTTTTTTGGGGCCCTTTATAGCTTACTGTTCGATGTGAGCCAAGGCTCCGTGTTGAAGACCGTACTGTGACCTATAATGGTTTACTTTTATAAATTTTTACTTGGATGGAGAGTTGTCTCATTGGCACTCATACCACATCTTCTTATATCTATAAAAAGACAAAAATGGTAAAATTCGTCATTTTAGTCCTATAAGAAGTAGTTTTGATGTAAATGGATAATAGGTGAATCATTTCAACTATCTAACCCTGTCATATTTTCTCTTTCTATAACATATGTACAGTTGCTACTTTTCTTTGTGTTCGTCCTGAACATGCAGGAACTATTTGCCGCTGGGCAATAAGTAAACAAACACTCAACCAATCTATAAGGGGTTATAAAGATAATACATAAAGCTTTCATTTTACCCCCATATTCTATCTTCAATCATGTTGGCTTTGTTGGTAGGCGGGGTCAACGGACACAATTTTTAAACTACATACCATGAGGATGAGTGTGGCCAATATATAAACAAGTAGATGTGGAATATTGCAAATGAGACCACTCTCCACCAAGTTTAGTTCAAACGAGAAGATTTTTGTGAAAGTTAACGGATGATGAAGGACGACGGACGCCAAATTATGGGAATAGCTCTCTGGCATTTTGGTTCAGGTGGGCTAAAATACATGTAATATTAAGTCTTGTCAATTATAGAAAATACCTTTTAATCTCGGTGAAGCTGGTACAGATTCCTTTGTTGTCGGTGTTGGTGTTGTTGTGGTAGATCCCAATGTTGTAGTTCTGGAAGGCTTCGGTTGTAGGGATTTCGGAGCTTTATCTTGTATCCTGTTCAGCTCAATAGATGGAACAACTACTGGAATTTTATATTTATAGAATTTAGTTGATTTTACGATTTATTTATATTGGCTTTTCATATTTGGTTTTTTTTTTCATTATAACATTAACTATATAATTACATAGTGATATTCTTACATTTAAACTGCTTCCACTGGATTATCATAGACTTTCTTGTATATAACGCCATTCGTTTTGAATGTGCTTTTAATATTTGCCGCTAGACTTTAAGCAATCAATAATTAATTCTCACAATCAATAGACTGATGTTTAAATAGATTGGCCTCGATCGTCACTTAATAGACAATAATCGTTGAAATGTGCATCTGGTGCATTGAAATGTGTTCTTTTAATGTCAAAATTCAACACTTGAAGAGTAGAAAGATTGTCGTGTGTGTATTTTCTGATAAATCTATTCACGATATTCACACAATGTGACCATAGGATGAAGTTTTTTGTAAATTTGAATTTACTTCACTTATCATTCAATTTCGATAGAAAATAGCAATAGACATAAGATTTTAATTGAGCTAACTTGACTATATGGAAAATGAATTAAAGTCTAAAAGTGAGATAAATTTGACATTAAATATATCTTAAGATACTGATTAAAAAGTGTTTACAGTGATGGATTAGGTTGGGGAAGTGTATCTGGTGTGTGTTTGTGTGTGTTTCAAAATGTATAGAAGTTGCACGTTCCTTGTTTGAAAAAAATATTGGTAAATATCAACCATTTTTCATGTTATATATGGGTAATACAAAGCTTTAATTTTAAATATATGTTCATTAAAAACCATAAGAATCTTTAAAACAAAACTCGCATCTGAAGAATTTAAATAAGTGATAAAATTGAGAATGGAAATGGGGAATGTGTCAAAGAGACAACATCCCGACCATAGAACAGACAACAGCAGAAGGTCACCAACAGGTCTTCAATGCAGTGAGAAATTCCCGCACCCGGAGGCGTCCTTCAGCTGGCCCCTAAACAAATATATATACTAGTTCAGTGATAATGAACGCCATACTAAACTCCAAATTGTACACAAGAAACTAAAATTAAAAATAATACAAGACTAACAAAGGCTAGAGGCTCCTGACTTGAGACAGGCGCAAAAATGCGGCGGGGTTAAACATGTTTATGAGATCTCAACCCTCCCCTTATACCTCTAGTCAATGTAGAAAAGTAAACGCATAACAATACGCACATTAAAATTCAGTTCAAGAGAAGTCCGAGTCTGATGTCAGAAGATGTAACCAAAGAAAATAAACAGAACAGATTTCTGTCATATTTGCAAAGATACTTAGTAGTCAAGATTTAGATGTGTTAACGTTCTTACAACATATGTGTTAACGGTTTTACAACATACATGTATGTGTTAACGGTCTTACAACATATGTGTTAACGTTCTTGCAACATATGTGTTAACGTTCTTGCAATTAACTGTCCTTTTATTTTGTTGATTACAATTCTATCCATTTGATACATTGACCAAATTGTGGAGCGGGTGTTATACACGGAACGTAGTTTACGTCATAAAGAAAAAAATTAGCTCAACGTTTAGGAATGTTAGTCAGCATTTAAAATGTATCAATTAAGAGCACTTTGAATATCTACTCGCTTATAGTTAGTTATGACGTGTATTATCTCATTTTGTTGCAGTAGAGGTAATACCTTTTAGTGGTACCGAGGGTAGTGCTGAACTCTTTGTTGTTGTAGTAGACTTTTGATCTGTTGTAAAAGACTCCGGTGATGTATCAGGCTTTATTCGTTGTAATTTCAGTACATCAGCTGGTTGCTCCATCATCACAACAATTGGCTTAACTACTAAAATATAAGATGAATATAGTAATTAGTAATATGCAATGCTTATAGATTGACATGTATTGTCCTTCTCCCTTCTTGATACATAGAACGTCTATATAATTGTTTGTAGCATAGATCAGATTGTATCACTGAATTTACTGTACTAACACCTATAAAAGACAAATAACTCAAACGAAGATTTATAGTGTTTACATTGTTACTCGTTACTGTCCTTTTGTTCAGTAATAATCAATTCAATCCATTGAGAGTTTAACCAAATCACGTAAAACGTACCTTATTTTACACAGAAAACAAGTAGCTCAAATAAAGTGTGAGTCTGAATGTATCCCGGAACAGTATTTCACATTTAAATGCATTTAAGAAATATTTACTCGCTTATGGTTAATAATAATTTATTATTATTTCTTGTTTCAATGGTTGCTTTACCTTTTACCGGTACCGAAGTTGGTACAAAACCCATTGTTGTCGGAATTGGCTTTACTGTTGTTGTAGAAGATCCCATTAATGTTCCGGGCTTTAGTCCTTGTGATTTGATTTCTTGAGCAAGTTTACTAATTCTCAAAACAAGTGGCTTAACTGCTAAAATATAAAATGAATATAGGAATAAGTTATATGCAATGCTTATAAATGGAGATGTATTGTCCTTCTCCTTTCTTGATTCATAGCGCGTCAATTGTTTTGTAGCATAGATCAGATTGTATCACTGCATTTACTGTACTAACATCTATAACAAACAAATTACACAATGGATTTAAGAAAACTTGTAGTGTTTACATTGTTACAAGTTACTATCTTTTTGTTCAGTAATAATCAATTCAATCCATTGAGAGTTTAACTAAATCACGTAGAACGTACCTTGTTTTACACAGAAAACAAGTAGCACACATGTATTATGAGTCAGCATGTATCCCAGACAAGTATTTCTTATGGTTAATAACCATGTATTATCTTTTCTTATTTCAATGGATGCTTTACCTTTTACTGGTTCCGAAGTTGGTACAAAACCCATTGTTGTCGGAATTGGCTTTACTGTTGTTGTAGAGGATCCCATTAATGTTCCGGGCTTTGGTCCTTGTGATTTGATTTCTTGAGCAGGTTTGATAATTCTCAAATCAGTTGGCTTAATTTCTACAATATAAGATGAATATAGTAATAAATAATATGCAATGCTTATATATTGACATGTATCATCCTTCTCCCTTCTTGATACATAACACGCACATATATTTTTTTGTAGCATAGATCAGATTGTTTCACTGCATTTACTGTACTAACATCTATAAAAGACAAATTACACAATGGATTTTAGAAAATTTATAGTGTTTACATTCTTACACGTTACTATCTTTTTGTTCAGTAATAATCAATTCAATTCATAGAGAGTTTAACTAAATCACGTAGAACGTACCTTGTTTTACACAGAAAACAAGTAGCACACATATAGTATGAGTCAGCATGTATCCCAGACAAGTATTTCACATTTAAATGCATTTAAGAAATATTTACTCGCTTATGGTTAATAACCATTTATTATCGTTTCTTTTTTCAATGGATGCTTTACCTTTTACTGGTACCGAAGTTGGTACAAAACCCATTGTTGTCGGAATTGGCTTTACTGTTGTTGTAGAAGATCCCATTAATGTTCCGGGCTTTGGTCCTTGTGATTTGATTTCTTGAGCAGGTTTGATAATTCTCAAATCAGTTGGCTTAATTTCTACAATATAAGATGAATATAGTAATAAATAATATGCAATGCTTATATATTGACATGTATCATCCTTCTCCCTTCTTGATACATAACACGCACATATATTTTTTTTGTAGCATAGATCAGATTGTTACACTGCATTTACTGTACTAACATCTATAACAAACAAATTACACAATGGATTTTAGAAAATTTATAGTGTTTACATTCTTACACGTTACTATCTTTTTGTTCAGTAATAATCAATTCAATCCATTGAGAGTTTAACTAAATCACGTAGAACGTACCTTGTTTTACACAGAAAACAAGTAGCACACATATAGTATGAGTCAGCATGTATTGCAGAGAAGTATTTCACATTTAAATACATTTAAGAAATATTTACTCGCTTATGGGTAATAACGTTTTATTATCTTTTCTTATTTCAAAGGATGCTTTACCTTTTACTGGTACCGAAGTTGGTACAAAACCCATTGTTGTCGGAATTGGCTTTACTGTTGTTGTAGAAGATCCCATAAATGTTCCGGGCTTTGGTCCTTGTGATTTGATTTCTTGAGCAGGTTTGCTAATTCTCAAATCAGTTGGCTCAACTTCTAAAACATAATTTATCTAGTGATAATAATGTCCAATACGTAAATGTATATTGATTTTACCCAGGGTTGGCCCTTTATGCTTAATATTTTGCCACGAGCGACAGTGTGGGTCAAAATATCAGCATAAAGGGCCAACCTGTGGTAACATCAATATAAATTCAAGCCCTATGAATTATATCTATTCTAATAGGACAAAGACAGCAATTCTTTTGGATCGAAGGGCTTTGTGTGAAGGGAAATATTTGCTGTTCCCGTAATTGAACACACTATTGATATCGACGTACACGACGAAGAAAATTGAATAAGTGACATTTTAAAACGATATACAGTAACATACTAGGACAGATTTGAATGAATTTAATTGACTATCGTACTTTCATTGAAGAAGATATGGACATTATACAAATTCTTACCATCGTTTGTTTATGTTTTTATGCTTTGACGACTTTCAGTTTCCCATTCGTGCATTTTCCGGTAAAATCCATACATCTTACGTCATCGTTCAATGACATCATTTGCACTATCTGACGTGAGGTAAATCATTCATAAAAAGCATGCGACGTGGGAGTAGGATTGGAACAGCCCAAAAAAATCGTGACGTTGCATATCAGGTGACATTAATATATTCAAATTTTACTACTGGTGTGTACTCAAAGCGTTTGAGGAACGTCAAATTAGAATTAGTAATATAATCCAGCTTGTATCACTGGTTTATATTCCCAAAATCACCCTTTTTCATCTTTTAAGAGATAATTGATTATTGAACAAAAAGCTTAACATACATGACTATTTGCGAAATAAATTTCAGTCTAAATGAGTCTGAAATCTACCGTAAAATAAATCTTTACATACGTTTTCACCAGTGCAAGGTGAGATGGATTGATTGGTAGAAAGGTGTCTGTGTGACTACGTGTGTGTGTATAGAAAATTTATAGTGAAGCATGTCTATTGATAGAAATATTGGTAAACATCTTTAGTTGTTACATTGGATGCAATGCAATACCGTGCTTTCCTAGTGGAATAAAACCGATGAATTGACATGTGAAATAAATCCGACAATTTAACTTCTCTGACAAAGGGTGTTGTTAATTTCAATGACGTTGCATCACAACAGTTAATGAATACGCAGATAAAGATGAAGTTCCTTACATTATAAACGAAATTGCCATTAAAAATCCCATGCCCAATGAATCTAAGATATTAACCTATCCGAGATTTCAAATATAAAAAAAACAAACAAATATTTAACTCGTGACCTTCTTTTTATGCATACAGATAGTATAGATTGATATTGTTTACGTTCTTACATTTCACTGCCCCTTGTTTTGTGGTAACCTATTAATATCATTTGAGATTTAATCAAAATCGAGCACGACATGTTATTGATAGAACATGTTTTACTCTACACAGAAAACAATATCGCAGCATCACAGCATCACAGCATGTATAATGTGAGTCTGCATTTTAAATGTATTTCAGAACCGTATTTCGCATTTAATTGTTTACACGCTTATTCAAACATAACCTTTGTTAACTTTTCCTTTCTTATCCTAACTTGTAATAGTGGATGCCTTACCTTTAAATGGTCCTGAAGTCGGTACAGAACCCTTTATTGTTGATGTAGAAGGCTTTGGTGTTGTTGTATATAAATTCTGTAATGTACCGGGGGTTGTTCCTTGTGATTCGATTACTTGATCAGATTTGAGGATATCCCAAACATTTGGCTCAACTTTTAAAACATAATTTATCTGATAATAAGTAATATCCTATACTTATATATACATGTACATAATATATTGCCTTTTTTTGTCTCTCTCTCAAAAGCACAGCATTTAGTTTATAGAAAATGGAAGCAAAACATAACCTTATAATGTTATTCGTGTAAGTATATTTTGAATCAGGTATACAGGAATTCATTGCTATTGATGTAGAATCTGTAGGAAGTTGATGTCGTTACATTACACCTCCAAATATTAATTTGTAACATTATCCAGTTTGTATCACTGGTTTTTCTTAAATCATCATCCCTTTTTTCAATATCTTATCAGATAAATAATTATGGTTGGTACATGTAGGTGTCTGTGTGATTGTGTGTGTGTGTTTGTGTGTATGTGTGTGTGTGTGGCAAATTGTAAAGTAATAGCACGTTAATTGTTGATAGGATTATTGGTAATATCTTTAGATCAAAATAATTACTCTAATTATCAGCACAACACTATTAAATCTGCAATTTGCGGAAGCAAATTTTTGTTCTTCCCTCGCCGGGATTCAAACTTATGGTATTGGGATATCGTGACAACACCGCCTGCACTATATCCAGCGCTCTAGACTACTCGGCCATCTAGACTGAACTAAAAAATTCAGCTTTCGGTGCCCTAGTGTTACCTTTCCTCGTCCGTAGAATCTAGAGTTATAACACAGCTCTAGGTTCTACTGACGAGGAAAGTTAACAATAGTACCGAAGTAGGTACAGAACCCTCTGTTGTCGTAGTAGGGTATGGTGATGTTGTAGAAGACCCCAGTAATGTACCCCTCTTTGATCCTCGTGATATGATTCCTTGACCAGGTTGTACAACAATGGGGTCAACTACTGAAATTTTATATAGCTAAAATATGTATTAACGGATATCTATAGATACGTGCATATTTAATGCATTTCACGTTTTATTTGTCATAAGCAAAACCTGTTTTACTATATTCCACTACAATTTGTTATGTTGATAGCAGGATACAATAATTTGATTACCAAATCGCTTTGAACATATTATATTAAATCATGAGGTGTGTAAATATATTTTATAAAGAGATATCCGCTTTAGCCTTTTAACAATGACGGATGTAAAGCAAACTTCTTTCAGAATTCAGTGTTATTTGCATCTTAGTCTCCATTTCGGTGTAGAACAAAATCGACCCATGGATGGAGTAAGTATCATTTAAAAACACGAAACCTTGAATTAACCAATATAGAAATATGTGAATGATGTATTGTGTTTAATGAGAAAAATATTCATCATTACAACGATGAACGGGGGTTTTATATCTAAATGTCACATTTCATCTTTTTTTATGAAAAAGATATTTTTCTTGACAAATACACCCATTAAGTATCTTGTTTATTGTGCAAATTATATAGGTACATTTGAACACAAAATATACAAAAATATCACGGAATTTGACGCTTATTTGAAAACAAGAGTTGAATTACGCAATGAATGTCAATTACAGTATCTAGTTGCAAACGTGACATCAAAGTGTACATTTTGTACTTATTTTTTTTATTTTTTTAAACAACCGTTATTAGCTGTTTGACATTTGTTTGAATTGTGATTCTAAGTTTAACTATTTGCTATTGATGGCCAAAGAAGGGGTCTTCTACACTCATCTCCTTTATCACAATATAGGTATCTTTTTGTCACCATTCTTGCACAGAAATAAACTTAATGATAATGAGGTTAACTTGTCTTTTTTACCTATTTACCTTTTTAGAAGGTATGTTTAAATCATATTCGTTGGTTTTGCTGTTATTTGAACCTGTCGACTTTTGCACACTGTCTCGTAACACTGGTTAATTTAGCAAGAGTAGTTTACAGATGGTCAAATCGCATAATTCGATTAAAAGATGGAAACAATTTAACAAACAAAAACTGAGGAAATCGTTTGATCTACTGCGCCAACACGGGAAGCGTCTCCTTCTATGCATGCATCAATCGACATTCAAATCAACGCTCAGTCAAAATATCACATTATTGGAAATAGAACTCAATTAGTAGAACTTGAATCAGAATCAAATGTTGTACTTAACCTTTTTTCAGTGGAGCCAAAAGTCGCACGAAAAAAAAAGTTTGGATGTTGGTGATTAAGACGTCGTCTAAGATTATTAGTTTGTTATTTGAATTACTTTTCAAAACATTTGAAGGATGCATTTGCATTTAATTTATAAGAGTAAATTAGATGTGGATGTAAATGACAAAACAACCCAACCACACAACACAAATTAAATCAAAAGACATATAGAGGTCATCTCGTAGCCTGCAACAATACACGAGTTGTCTTTCTTTACAATACATTAAGTATTTGCCCAAGAGTGGATGAGTTTAATACGGGTATCATATACCTACTATACATTTAAAATCCCCTAAACAGATATCATGATATGACCGAAGATCAGAACTGACGATGTTCATGGCTTTGGGTGTGATTTAAATAGGATTTTAAGCGCTCAACCTGTCCCTTTTAATCTTAATCAGGTATATAACAAAACTATAGATAGAAAGAAATTATCAAAAATAATCTTCGAAAAATTGCCATAAATACTGGTATATTAGACCCCAAAAAACACACACAAAAAATAATGACATACTATTTAGTATTGTTGAGCCTTGGGTCCTGGGGGAAAGTTGATAATAAAATGTTAATTATTTCGACGAAAAATTTACAAAAACTTGAATCCAAACCCTAGTAAGGATATTACATTTATAAGAAGGACATGTTCGCAATGCAGAAAATGTTTTTTTAGTTGAAACAAAATGTATTAGTCGAAAATGATATGATGTGCCTATTGAAATCACTGTTATCTTGTAGAACACATGCCAAACATACCTTCAATAACAATCAGGAATGATACTAACAAAATCAAGTATTTCATTCTTGTATTTGATCAGGTACTGAAAAGAAAATAATAATATTTTAACTTAAAGATAAAAAAAAAAATATTTGTGTCATACTGCATTTATGTTCATCACATGTTGGCGTTTACGACCAAATAGCGGACAGGTTATTGTCCGAAAGCTGTCTACGTAACATATATCCCACGTCTTCCATTCATATAAACGAAAACGCTCCAGTGATAATTAAACCATGAGTTAACTAACAAAAGTATACCCTTGCCATAAACGAAACTTCTATCACACATTGCAATATAGAAATAAGTAATTTTAATTTTTCTTCTTTAAAGAGAGGCGAAAGATACAAACTAGAATATAATATGTAGAACTAGAATTGTATTATGTTATTCGCATCCTAAGGTGGTGTACAACTGTAAACAGTTTATTCAAAAACCATATAGTTCTTTGGAAGAAGTTGCGATAAAAAGGCACATAAACAGACGGTCAAACAGACATGGATATAATTACTTACTACCACTTCGAATTCACTTTAACTCTGGTGGATAGTTGTCTCATTGGGAATTATACCACATCTCCTCGTTTTAGATACAAACTAAAAGACAGAGTGGCTGACGGACAGACGACAGGGTGATTCTTATGTGTTCTCCAAAAATGTTTGCTGGGGCCGGGTAAAATAACAGGGAATACATATTTCGTGGATAATTTATAATTAATGGTGTATTATGTGTTGGGCTAGTCTTGAAGGAGTAAAATGCGAGTGTTGTTGAGAAATTGTATCCTTTTTTGTACTGAGTAAAATATTATTTGTACTCTAATATTCCGTAAATATAATAACAACCACTGTTACAGGGTTATGCTTTATTGTGGACTTTACATTTATCTTAGGTTTGGTTTACGTACTTCCTAATATTCAGCAACCGTTTGTTTAGAAAATCCAAAAGATTCATATTCATGAATAAAGTGAAGTAAGAAAATGATTCATCTACAGGTCTTGCCTTGACTGTCGATATTAATCATTTCAAGATAGAAGTAAAAGTTGGTGCAGCATATGTGCAGTTCGAATTGTTGTTATGTACCAGTGGTGACTGTAACTAAACATTGGGAATTGAGGAGTATCGAAATACGACGAGTAATAAAACATAATTTACACCAAAAGGGGCACATAAGCTACATCTAGAGGATAATTTTCAAATCTGAAAAATATCTTTTAATATACACTTTACAAAATGAAAATTCTGGCTGTAGTATCAAAATATTTTGTAGGAACATTCCAGTGTTAAAGAACTTGCTGTATGGTTAATGATATCCTTTGGGCCGCTCTCCACTATTATAGGAGACTGAAGTAATATGAACTTCACAAAAACAAAGTCTTTCTTTTACAATTTTTACTTCAATGGCCCTCACTCTGGAGTTATTTGGGTATCTTAAGGCATTCAACGCATTTATATGTTTCTTTAATTTCAGTGTAATGCAATAGATAAGATCGATCAAATCACCAAGATGCTCTATTTAAGACATACTGGCAGCGGTGTAGGATTTTGTTAAACAAAATTATAGCAAATTATTCCATCGAAAATATTTTCAATTTATTAAAAGATAATCATAAAAATGTAAACCCCAGTAAGATCAAACATTAAAACTGTACGTTGGGTTTTATTGGGAATGAAACTGTTTAAAAAGTTATGAACTCTTAACAGGGTGAAACGTTGCGCGTCAGCAAGAATATATTAATCCGCATCCATAATTTGAAAGTAAAATTTTTACCATGAAGTAATGACAGTCAAGTCACGAATATATAATTTTGTTTTAGATTTTTGTATTTGATTGCAAACAAATCTCATTTGATAAGCAAAACTAAACTTCCTAAAAGACATCGGTTTTGGTTGCATCCCTAGAAAAAAATAAAAACAATGTTGAGTTAAGAATAAAACAGAAATGGTTTAATTGCTTTATGATTTTAATTCAGAAAGTATGTGAAACTATTTATTTAAACTGACACGATAAACAAAATATAAAACTACTATGTAATATCTTTATAATTTTATAGTGATACTTATAGTGAAACCAGTTTGAACTATACTTAAAACTCATAACGCAAGTTAGACTGAAAATGGTCTTTGAAATTCAAAATAGAAACTATTTGAGAGGCGATGATTACGGGTCAGACAGTTTTTATGTCACATTGGTTGATTTGAATCGTTTTAAGGATAGAAATAGCAAATACTATTTTTTTAAAGAATGGAAAATCAAACACAAATTCAGAAAAGCATGGTTGATCTCCCCTCAATTTATTTCACACAACGGCCATCTTCAAAGTCTCAAAATCTTCACAAATATTCTTAATATCATAAAATACCTTCATTAGTTATTCATTGATGGAAATAGGAATCATTAGGAAACTAAGGTTCCAACTCCCTAAAGAAAATTTTATCTTAAAAGGGTGAAGCTATTGTTGGGTCCCTTTTGATCTTAAAGCTCCTCGCATCTTCAAGTACTACATTTTTCAAGTTGGCTTTCAATTTTTGGGTTTGAGCGTGAAAGCGCTTCGGACGCACTTAAATTTATAAAGTGTTATTTTCATTAATGTGTATGATTGAAGATTCAATATCATATCTGAAAGAGAGAGGCGAAAGATACCAAAGGGACATTAAAAAATTAATAAGTCGAAAATAAACTGACAACGCCATAGCTAAAAACGAAAAAGACAAACAGACAAACACCAGTACACAAAACACAACATAGAAAACTACAGACTGAGCAACACGAACCCCACCAAAAACTGGGATGATCTCAGGTGTTCCGGAGGGTAAGCAGGTCCTTCTCCAGATATGGCAACCGTCGTGTTGCTCATATAAGTACAACCCGGTGATAAATCTAATTCGGTAGGTCATATTCGGGGGAAAGGGGACGGGATTGTACTCCCGACAATTGGAACATATCCGTCGTCATCTGTGAAACGGATATTCCATAACGGTCAACTAACTCGTGGTGGCGTCCGTAAAATTTACGAAGGAATGTTGAACGTATGAACTGACCATAAACGTCTAGAGAACTAATACATATGCATATTTTAAATTTTTTATATTTATCAAAAACGTTTAATAAAAAAACACTGTGAACTAAACCCAGATTTATGTGAAGCGCCTTTTTTGAAAATTGCTGTTCAGATACAAATTTATTCAATTTGATTTAGATGTCCTTCAATACAAGATTAAACAAAATCATTTAACACATTTTGATTAAAACCACATGACTAAAGCCATACATTTTAATTTGATATGCTGCATTTGCCATAAAATCAGTTAAAATTTTGAAAGACAAATTCCTAAATTATTGAAGTCTATAACTATAATATCCTGATGTGAATAGTGAACACTCAATCGGGCTAACGCCCCCGTGGTGTATCTAATACATATCATCTAAGTTTCCTTTACAAAATACAGAAGTATGTAGTGTTTAATAACATTCAGATGTGATAGAAATAGGTAAAACTATGAAAATTGTCAAAAGTACTATCAACTCATAAATATCTAAATTTAAGTAGCTCTAAAGGACTTCCTAATTCTGACCCTGTAAATAAAACATATATAGGGGAAATTAGTCCTACCTTTATATAGTTATATTATTCCTTATTTTGATGCAGATTTTACAATGTTAAAACATAACAATCTTTGTTTGTTTGTAATCCTGTCTTTATGTTTATGTCACCTATGACATTGGCATTTATATTTAATATATGTTAATTTTATTGTACAACCTTTAACCATAGGTTAAAAGTAAATTATGGCTTGAACATGGTTTTTCATAAATATTATATAATTTGAAAATATTATTCATAAACAAGATGTAATTAATATTGAAATTAAAGAGGCAAAAACAAATATTCAAAAGAACTGAGTCAATGCACATTTATACTTATTGTATTAATTATCTAATTGATTTGTGGTGTCAAATATCACCGACGTTAAAATGTTTGACTCGATATTGATAAGTTTGACCCTAACTTTTCAATTTTTGGTTAGTGCAAAGACAAACTTTAAAGAAAACAATTTTTCTCTCGCGTGAAACAAAAACATAGAAGTGATTACCAGATTCTCTCAGGTAGTTAGCCGCTCAACACTATATGATAAAATTGAGATTGGAAATGGGGAATGTGTCAAAGAGACAACAACCCGACCATAGAGCAGACAACAGCCAAAGGCCACCAATGGGTCAATTATGCAGCGATAATTTTTTTTTTATTAAATCGTTCGCGACGCTCAGTGTTATAAAGCTTCGTATTATGAATTACAGCTGATATTTTCCAATATCGACAAGCAGAAAACTTGAAAATGTGTACCATTTAAACAACTTTTCAAGTTTTCCTGAACAAACAGTTTGGAAAGAAAGAAAAATCTTAAAAACGTAGAAATAAAACGTCCAATACCGCCTATAGTCAAATGTTACTTTAGGAAGTTCCAATCTTAATTTCGATTAAATCATATAGTTGGTGAGCTTGAAGTTCACAAGTATCATTTATATTATATGCGAATCATCTTCGACTTATATTCTATCAGCAATCAATGAAACGACCAACGGTTGTAAAACGTTTATTTCCGATTGTATTATCCACGACTCGTAGTTGTTGGATTACCTTGATCAAGATTTTAAAATTATAAAAACGTTTGAGACAAAATGTATATTGTTATAGTGTTATGATGGGGTTTGTGTTGCTCATTTTACAGTTTTATATGTTATATGTTGTGTGTACTGTTGTTTGTTTTTTTCGTCGTTTTTCGTTTTTTGCCATGGTATTTTCATTTTGTTTTTCGACTGATGAAATTGGATATCCTTTTGATATCTGTTGCCTGTCTTTTACCTCAATTTGCAGTTGAGAAATCTAATATACAAAACAAAAAATGTATCATTTAACTCATGCCAAGGAAAAAATATACATATTGTCTTGAGAATTATAAGATTGCAAGATACACTTCACTGTTAAACTTGGTAGACTCGTAAATACTTTCATGTTTCATTGATAAGTGTCGTAGCTATTACTAGGATATAGGATAGGAATAAATGTTGGTTGTGAACGGATAACAACATTTACGATATAATTCTTACTACACCAGTCTCGTATTTCGGCAATTAATGTCTCTTCACTGATGCTCGATGACAAAATCCTAACAAAAAACATAGCATAAAACAAACGATGAGAAACTTTTAAAAACCAAAACGGACCAAAACCAAAAGCCCTGTTGTCTCGGATAAACGGAAAAGCAAAACGAAGTGACTTTGTAGAAAAGTCATAAAAAAAGTGGTTCCTTCATATCCGTTCACTTTAAGACAAAAAGTTAAGGTTTAACAATATTAAGTTTGTTCCGAAAGGAGTTCTTAACCACGTGGTTTAAGCATGTTGAACTTTCAGGTAACAGTATGATGAGGTAAAGAATATGAATATTTGACCGAATCATCATTAATAATTTGTGTTAAAGAGACAACAGGATATTATATGATAGGTCCATGATAACATTGTCTTTGGTCAACGTAAAAAATTGACACTAAAGAGATAATTTGTCAAGTCGGAAAATTACGGTATAAAATGTGTAGGCATGAATGTACACGTGCAAAATTGTCATTAGTTATTGTCACAAAACATTTTATGGTAAAAATCTTCATTTCACTTACATTATGCACTCAATATCAATCAAACGCAAGCTAAATAGTGGAGTGACAAATCAAGAAAAAGTCGCTATTTGTTAAGAGTTTAATGGACATACCTCATGGCTGAAAATCAACATGATGATAGAGTAAACATTATACTATCATTTTAGCCCTATCGTAGAGTTTTCCCACGGTGCATTTTGTTTGTAAAAATGCGATAAAGCGTGGATTTCTTTTTTTTTTTTGTTTTTTTTTTTCATTATCAAACACTGGAACGCTTATAATTAATTCCTGAATGAAAATAGCAAATATTTACTATAAAATAAAAGAGTAATGTATCAGCTTTCATTTAATATCAAAATCAAATATCATATGAAAATACATGTGGAGTGAATTTGAAGAGTTTCCATTGCATGCGACATTTTTTACAATCTTACCGTCTGTCAAAGTATATTAAATTTCTTACATACATCACCCGTAGTCGATTTAGACAACAAATATTGGATAAAATTGAGAAGGGAAATGGGGAATGTGTTAAAGAGACAACAACCCGACCAAAGAGCAGAAAACAGCAGAAGTCCATCAATGGGTCTTCAACCCAGCGAGAAAATCCCCCACCCGGAGGCGGGCTTCAGCTGGCCCCTAAACAAAAATGTACTAGTTCAATGAAAATGGAATTCACACTAAACCTCAAAACATATAAATGAACTAAAATTAAAAACATACAAGACTATCAACAGCCGGAGGCTCCTGACTTGGGACAGGCGCAAAAATGCGGCGGGGTTAAATATGTTTTGTGAGATCTCAACCCTCCCCTATACCTCTATCCAATGTAGAATAAACAAACACGCAGCAATATGCACAGTAAAACTCAGTTTAAAAGATCCGAGTCCGCTGTCAGAATAGGTAAAAAAATAAACTAAGCAAAATGACAATGATACATAAATTAACAAAGGACTACTAGCAGTTACTGACATACCAGCTCCAGAAAATCAATTAAACTGATTGAAAGATTATGTCTTCATCATATGAAAATCAAGCACAATCCCTCACATTAGGGGTTTAGTATCATACCGTCATAAAATATATGAGAAGAACATAACCCGTATCATGCCAACAACTGGTTTTAGAATAAATGTGTTTATTTCCGATGCAAAGACCCTATGAGTGAATCAATATTAATACCAAAATATGCCATCTTTAATGACCTGACAACAGTATCGTAACTATATCCCTTTTGAATAAGCCTGTTTAAAGGTTTGGTTAGCTTTTGAGGTGAATGTCGACGTTTTTGTGCTTTGTATAGAATATTACCATAAACGATTGGATGTGAAATACCTGAACGTATAAGATGTCTGCATGTTGATTTATATTTACGAATAATGTCCTTGTACCGATGATAAAATTTAGTAAATGTTTTGACTAGTTTTTGATATCGAAATCCCTGGTGTAATAATTTTTCAGTAATACAGTGGTTTCTTTCATTAAAATCAAATACGTTGTTACATACACGAGCGAATCGAACAAGTTGAGATAAATAAACACCATAAGAAGGTGACAAAGGAACATCACCATCTAAAAATGGATAATTAACAATAGGAAATGAAAAATCATCTCTTTTATCATAATTTTTGGTATTAAGTTTCCGTTAAAGATAAAGATATCAAGATCCAGGAAAGGGCAGTGTTCATTGTTAGTATTAGCTTTATTTAAAGTCAG